TTGAGCCCTCTCCAAACAGGCCATAAAGCTCTATTTTGGTCTTGTCACTCCAAATTACAGTGTGCTAGAAGCTATGCGGTGTGTCAAAGTGTTGTCAGATATGTTGTACCTGTTTTTTTTTTGTGGAACTGGCACAGTAAAGGCGTCTTTCTGGCAACTCAACCAAGCAGCTCATTTTTCTTTAAGTATCATCGTATTGTGCTCTTTGAAATAGCCACACCGTCTTTTTCCACAGCAGCTTGTATTTCCTGTGGCTTTTTATTTGTACCCTGAACCATTCTTCTGGCAGTTGTGGCTGAAATCTTTTTTGGTCTACCTGACTTGGCTTGGTATCAAGAGATCCCAGAATTTTTCAATTCTTTTCTGGCATTTTTAAAGCTTTGGATATATTTGTATATCTTTTTCCATCTTTATAAAGTTCCATTACACCTTGTTACTCATGTAATGGAAGGTTGGCAGGTTAGCTTATACTTTAATGCATTTTAGAGGTACTAAAAATATGTTTTATATATATATATATATATATATATATATATATATATACACATGTATACATACACACACACTTGTTTCACCATAGAGTGCCTCTTTTTGTTGTTTTGCTTTACAGTCCAAAGGACTTATACCATTATTTTTTTTTAAATGTATTACTGGTATTTATAACGCGCCAACAGATTCCGCAGCGCTGTACAATTATGAGACCCATTCCATCATCCACAAGCAAGGATTGTATCACTTATTCAAATGAATAGAGCTTATTGTTAGCTACATTAATTGTATCTATTTACTCTTCTCACTACTTTCACTTTAAGAAAATACTACACTATTGGCTCCTTTTTGTCTCCACATATTTAAAAATATTCACTTCAAGGTGCAACATCCTTCTCTGATGTAAGTTCTCACTTATTTTGCCAAGAAGATAGCTAATAGGACATCCCTATAATATCTTCACAGACAAAAACAAAAATGTCAGTGTACCCCGTAGGCTGCTGATCAGCAACCAGGGTATTCAAATACAGGGAATTTGATAAACATAGTGCCACGTTGAAAATATGTTTTCAGCGTGGCACTATGAAAACCAGACCTATAAAAGAACAAGTCTTCATGCTCAATATTTGCATTAATAGGCTAGCACAAGACCAACTTCTGTAAGTGATGAAACACTCTTATTGCAAGTAACTTGCTATGGTGAATAATAAAATAAAAGGAGAGAACCTCTTTAAAGCATAATAACATAGACTGGAAACAGAATCTTAGCTCGGCCTCCCTTTATTCGAAGAAAACAAAATCTCTTCCTCCCCTTGTCGTCACAGGCTTCTTTTACCCCTAACTGCACCTCAAACTAACTCTAAGGACGCCTGTTAACCCTAACTGCACTTTCAGAACCCCAAATATTAATCTTATGGATAAGGTGATATACTTATTACTGTGAGTTTAAAAGCTGTATGGCTTGGAGCTCTGTGATACACTCACATACACTGCATATTACTGTGAATAACAGTAATGACACTAAAGACTAAATTGCAAAATCTAGACCAAACCAGCTGATTTGCAGAATGAGCTGAATTATAGAATTTTTACAGTTCAGGTATTTTGACCTAGATTTTGAAATTCTCCTGCAATTAACCCTTTAGTGAATAGGCCTGTGAGTCTTATTGCTGTGCAACTCTGGCATACACTTGATTCAGTCAGCTCCTGACTTGAGCCTCATGTAAGTGAACTGATGAATCGGTTCATGAAATGGTTAATTTAACATACCATCTAAAATGAACCCATTCATCTTAATGATTCGGTCTTCGCATCACTAGTCATACGTGCTTGAAACATATGCCCCATAGAGGACACGCGTCTGTAGGCAGCCTGCTCTACCTTAAGGGTAAATCCAGGCCTGACTTAGAAACAGGCTTTTAAAGATGTTAGGTACAGGTGTGGACGCAATCTGTCATACAGTGAAAATAATTCTAACTTATGAGTATTGGCCTCTTCTCAGGACTGTAGTGTTCAATTAGACTTGACACAGCCAGTATAGCCAATAGCAGTGTTCTTTTATAAGATGAAACATTTGATCTATAAACTAGCTTATATGCTCACCATAAATCTCCTAAATGTGACCTATAAGTATCTTGGAATAACCAAATGAACAGAAACCCAGGTACTTATATTAGTCAGTAATCTAAACTACTGATGCACTTACCTGAGATGGAAAAGAAAAACTAGACAGACTGCTGCAAACTAGTGCTTCAGAGGCAAATGTGGTTTTGAACACATTGATGAACAGGGCAGTCCACACTAGAAACAATCAGCATGGATCTATGGCAGAGTGTATGGTTACTAAACAGGACCTTCAGCAGCTTTTTTTAACACTCTGCATGCTGCTCTTTGGACGGAAATGACCATGATCCGATCAAAGATAGCGACGTCAGATGGCCGCATACAGGCCCTTGACTCCTCCACCCAAGTTTTCACCACTCAATTAGCAGCTGACAAAACTTTAGCAAAGCAAGGTGATCCTGGCTATGCAACGCCACTTGGAAGACCTAAACAATCATGGCTACAGCTGTAATATCAGAATTTGCTGTATATCTGAGGCGAAAGGTGAGCAACTACAACATTATTATAGTCACTTACTGGACTAGTGATAGTGGTGCATAGGGAATTGATATTGTATTAAACGCTGTGTATGGGGAGCGAAATGCTGGATAAATGTTGGCTCTTTATCAACATCTCCTTGTGGGTGGTTTGGGAGACAAGGTGAGTTAAGAGACAATGGGAAGAACCATTAGGTTGCACTTGCACTAATGCCCAATGAAAAAAAGTTTTAGTTTTGCAACACAAAAGCTTAGTCTGTTCTAAATATCAAGAAGTGAACTACAAGCTTCTTTCACTTTGGTACCGAATACCGAAATTACTTCATGACTGTCCTGTCCACTTGTTGGAGGTGTCTGTGATGCACATTTGGTGGGATTGTCCACGAATAGCCCCATTCTCGGATACGGTGACGAGTGCAGTTACCGATTATACTAGGTATCCTTTTGTGCAGAAAGCGGGATTCTGGTGTGGGCTAACACGCCTCAATACTTTTATCTTTTGATTCTATGAATATTACTTATCTGCTTATCTACGTCTTCATCTATTTCTTACATGGCTTTTTGCTTTCTTTTCTTGGATCGATTCTAGTTTGCTACATTATAAAGAGTTTATTTGCTAGGTTACCGAGCTGGGCGATATGGACACTGAGCTCCGGATGATACTCCTTTGTGTTGGAAGGATGCCTTAGGTTAAATCCACATTGAGATGAGGGAGTATATATGCAGCCAGGTATGAGTGGAAATATATACTTGTATAAAAGTTGTGTGGAGCAATGTCTACTAAATATGTTGGATGAGGGGTGAAGAAATAGCAAATTCCATGCTTGATACACATTTCCCTTTATGTATTCAAAAGATGCTTGTAGTGATATCCAGTTATTTTAATGTGTTGATGTTGTAAATGTGAAAATTTGGGGAAGAATTTAGCTTTTGTTTCTACTGTTAGTACTTTATAGGTACTTAATCAGAAATCCTTAATTGTAGAGATATGCTGTTCTCTATATGTGTTGCTTAATTTTATGCTATCTTGTACAATAAACAGATTTTGAAACCCCCCCCCCCCAAAAAAAAACCACTTCAGCAAGCTAAAGTGCTTTAAGCATTTGTATTGGTCCGTTAATGCTAAAATCGCCCCAAAAGATCTCATTTGTGTTTCAAAATGGACAGGTATCTTTCCCAAATGTATTACACACAAAGCAAAGAATGGTCATAAAGTGGCCACACAGTGTCAATATACCCTATGAGGTTTATACAAAATATACACTTTTGTATAGCTTTTTTGATTTCTGTGACAACTATTAAACTTACAGAGTCCATATTTTGAAAACCTTGAACAATATTGCAAACCTTGTAATATATCATCTTTAGCTACTAAAACAGCTCTTAAACGTTATGTAATCAGGACAAACAAGTATGTTTGTTTTTTGTTTTGAAGTATGCTTTATGGAAAAAAATAAAGTGTATAAAATATTTTCTCACCCCTCCTGGGTGGCATGGATGTATATGTAGATAGACCGATGGAAATAGATATGGGGTGTGTGTGTCATTCCTCAGGTCCTCTACTGGAGGCCTGGGAGTAATGGTTCTGCGCAGTAATTTAGTAGTTCCTAGAACTGCACTGTTCCGGACAGCGATCTCAAATGTCCCACCTGGAATCTGCTTAAGAGGGGGAAGATGGAGTAACACACAGGTCAGTACCGGAGCCGAGGGCACAAGCGGTCAGCTCATGCAGAGCCGAGGGCTCGCGGTGTGATACGCTCCAGACTCCACCTCCCATCAAGACTCAGCTCTTACCACAACCAGGTCGGAGGCACAAGCAAGTGATATCCAAAGATCCAGCAGGCCGGACAGCATGCCGCCACTAGCAACACGCTGAAGCTGGACCCGTGGGATAGCGTGACTTCCCCAAAGACACTCCGGTGGTGATCATTATCCTGCTCTAACGTTAACCAGTGGGACATTAAGCCTGTTATATTCCAAGCATAGCCCCAATATGACCAGCTTTTCTTTTCTCTAAGCTATGTCTCCCATAACTAATATGTCGGTCTGAACACCCTGTTTTATGGCAAAAGGCTCTTACTTATCCACTGACATCCTGACCATAAGCAAGTCTAATTGACTCGACATTTTTAGATATGCATGTGTCTTTTACTCGAATGTACCTTTAAGAAAATGTCCTGATTCACTCTTCTACCTATCCGCTCTTAAAATGTGCAGTCTAATCAAAATGCTGATAAATAGTAACGTTTCACTGTTATGTTTCACCTTAAACCTACATGTGCTGTTGGAGCATTGTAGAATCAGCTATGTTATTACTATGCACGACAAAAAAAAAAAAAAATAAAAATAAAAAAAAAAAAATCTACACTTTCATCAGAAAGATTATATTTTAAACTGTAATGTTGACCTATTGACAAATACAAGTTTTATTTAGAAGATGAACAAGGGACATTTGAGAACACTTATAAAGCAACCCCCCTGTGGAATATAAAATGTAACATGATTAATAAAAGTGAACACAATTTTAAGCTTCTTTGTTCCAATACAGTGTTTTAATTATAAGACAGGCCAACATAACAAAAAGTGCTGTATGCCCACTGAGCACTAATTACACAAAGGTCAAAAAAAAAAAAAAAACATTCTTCCAATGATGTTTATTTACCAATTATCTGTATGTACTTAAAAATATATATATAAAATGAGTTGTCACTTTAATGACATCAGTTAGCAACTAATCTTTTCTCAGAGACATTGTCTCTTCTTTTATGCCATCCTTGGTAACAATACTTATTTTAAGAGTATCTCCTGTGTATACATCTCTTTCAGCTGCTGATATGAAGACATCTTTGACCAGCTGTATCGCCTTCTCCAATGTTAATGGTAGCTGTTCCACGTTCTGCATATTCTTGTACCCAATCTAAAAAAGAATTAAATAAAAAAAACAAACAATTGTTATTGTCAATCGCAAAGATTAATTTGCATAGTTACATTTTAAGAAAACAGTGTGCTTTAAAATAGGATGTACTACAGTCCCAGGTATTATGGACAAACGTATTATTCCTTGGGATAGACTGCTCTCTAGTGGACAACATGAGTTACAGAGGGAACTACTAGATAAAAGACTTCTGTATTCATATTCAGAAGAATGACAAAATTAAGTTTTTGGGTAATTTAGTCATAATTAGCATGACTGAATGGCTCGCCTATCAGTTTTTTTTTTTGTTCGATGTCATTCTGAAATTTGTTCAGCATGGCAAGGGGGAGAATTAAAAAAAATAATCATTTATACCTCCCCCATGCCATATGTTGTGGTGTCCATGCCCCAATTTAAAGATTTGGGGAAGGAATGGACAAATCACTGTCCACCCTCCATGCCCATGGGGCTAATTTATTTCGGGACACCTAGTTTCCCCCACCCCAGATTCATGGATGGTTATGCTATATCAGTCAAAGCGCTTATTACTTTAGATGGGAAGTATATTTATTTAACATTTTACAGGTATTTGTTTAATGCTCCCACACCCTCTACAGTCACAATAGAAACCAGGAGAAAAAAAATCCTAATATCACATGTCATATCAGAAATGTAATAAATCAGACATTCAAATTATGATTTTGTTTATTATTTATAATGATTATTATTTTATTATTTATATAGCGCCATCAGATTCTGTAGCGCTGTGCAATGGGTGATATATAAAAACTATTTTGCGTGAGTGTACAAGTAATGTTTGATATGTAGTGTCCAAGTTTTTATTTTATTTTTAAATTATCAATTTTTGTCCACCCTGGTAAGAACACCAAGTCCATAGACTTAATTCATACACACACACACACTGCCCCAATAAGCACTTTTTGTTATAGAATTGCTACATTGCGTACCTGGTTATCAAGTAGGGGTTGGAGCATAGCACTTGCAGACCCACCCGCTTTGTAGGTATCTCTCTGGTATGATCCAACTGGGTCAAAACTGTAAACTGCTCCTTTACCTTTGAGAATAAAAGTGAAAAAAAAAAAAAAATATATAGTTTTAGTCAATTGTCTTGATTCCATAATTTGCATTCAAGGTATTTTTTTAATAGTGCACTTAAAAGGATTAAACCATTATATAAAATATTAACAACTGATCATATGAAAGCCATAACTTCCATAAGATTTCAAATCTATTTGCCAGACCGGGCAAATATTCATATTTCCATGCACAGTGACATACCAGTTATAAAATAAATGACACCTGAATATAATCTCTGAGAAGCATTCATGAAAGCTGAAAAAGACATGCTTTCAATATGGGATATGGCAGGGCTGCCCAGATTAACCTAGACAACCCCATGTAAGTGAGCAGGGGAATAAAAATAAATAAATAAAAAAAATTATAATATATATATATATATATATATATATATATATATATATATATATATATATATATATATTTTCTCAAAATTCCATTATGATCACAGTGCTGAAGGGAAATGGCAATCAGCCGAACATACTGTGTCTCCTGTACTGTACTGCAAATAAACACCATACAGAAAACACCCGTCAAAAGTTTTGAAAACACCTCAGTTTTTAAATGAAAGTGGCCTTTTTTGTTTAAGCTTAATGTCTCAATGCGTTTTTGATAACTTACTGACTTAAAGGACCACTACAGGCACCCAGACCACTTCAGCTTAAGAAACTGCTATGTTACCTATGGGTTAATCCAGCCTCTAGTGGCTGTCTCATTGACAGCCGCTAGAGGCACTTCCCACTGATTTTCACAGTGAGAAGACGCCAGCGTCCATATGAAAGCATTGAGAATGCTTTCCTATGAGACTGGCTGAATACGCGCGCGGCTCTTGCCGCGCATGCGCATTCAGCTGATTACATCAGAAGAGGGAGGAGAGTCCCAGTGCCGAGGGAGCCCGGCGCTGGAAAAGAGGCAAGAGATTAACCCCTTAGTCCCTCTTCAGCGCCACGGGAGTGGGACCCTCAGGGCACTATAGTGGTCCTTTAACTTACTTTTATAACATCTGCTAGTTAGGCCTTATATTAAAAAAGCATGCATGTGTGGAGTTTGTTTATGAATTCATGAGTGCATTTGTGTCAAGTTCTTTATATACACCAGATTGTGCATAAATAAGATATATGGGTCATTTATTCTTTGTAGCGGATCATGATTAACAATGTTAACACAGAGCACACACTAATGAAAAACATAAAAATACTAACACACAACCTACCAACAAATTCTACCAAAGTTGTGTTTTTTTTTTTTGTGTGTTCCACAACAGATGTCATTGAATATGTATTCTTAGTTTAACAATTATGTGACACATTCCTACCGTCTTCATCAAGGCCCCCAATTATATTATATACGTAATAAGGAAAAAAGCGTCGCGAGTAAAGAATGGTTGACAACATTGCTGCAATGGCTCCACTAGTCATCGTCTTGTTGTTTGAATGCTTGTACATCTAAATTTAATAGACAAGACAAATACGTTAAGCAAAGATTATGTTTTTGCAAAATTGATTTTTTATTTTTTTTTATTTTTTTTTTAAATAAAGAGTATTCTACAACACGATTTATAAACTACAAGAATAAATATATTGGTAAGCAATGTATTTTAATAAATTATAAACAAGAAGGTAAAACCCCAAAACAACAGACAACGTTAAAAAGATACTTAAGTAATTTTGATCAAACACGAAACTTACCTTTAACCTAGCTTCAATTATTTTTGTAAGTGTAAGGCAGTCCCCATGGAATCCACTGCATCCAATAACAGTTTTGTCAGTTCTGAAAAATGCAATAAAAAAAAATAGGTAAATGACCTACAATTGTGTACAGGAATGACTGGGTAAAAAAAAAAAAAAAAAAAAAAAAAAAAAAGGGAGATGGAAAAGGAGTAGAGGTGCATCTAAACACGGATTACTTAACCAAAAAAAAAAAAAAAAAATGCAGTTGAAGACTAAAGGAACACTCCAGGCACCATAACAAATTCATATAAATGAAGTTGTTCTGGTGTCAGGATGCACCCAGCGTAGTCTTACCTCAAAAGGGATAAATCTTTCTCCAATGGCTTAACCCCAAAGTTGCCTCCAGCGCCAATCTGCACTCCACGCCAAGGCTAAATCCAGCTTCTGAAATTTCACTTTCAGGAAGCATGGAGTGCTGCCAGGGAGCTGCGACGCTACTTGGCTGAGAGCGTGAGCTGACAAGCCAGGCAGAACAGTAACAGCCAGTAGTCTGTTAGTAGCAAGTGATTGCTGTGAAAGCCAATGACCTCAACCACATTGCGCACATCTTGCTTTGCATCTCTCTCTAATTTTCACTTGCTAGTTTGATACAGAGGAGCAGAGAGACTTGTGTCAAAGTGCTCCAATGTATCCAGTGCTAGAAATACATAATTTAAAGTTATATTTTCCCCATTTTCCTTACTGATCACCAGTGTAAACAAAGATCAGCTACTGCAGTACTAATCCGTAGAGACTCACAGGTGTTGTAGGGGTTCATTTTGTAGTTCTGTGAATCACATTTTTCCCCATTTGTTTTTAAAGTTGAACGATTATTTTAGCTATCTGATCACTCTTACCATGATCATCTATGGCAATGTTGCAGCCTCTGGCACTAACTTTTTTTGTTACTTTTGATCCTATATTTTTGCCCTTTTTTGTACTGATCATTTCTGACAGTGTCAGTGCACTATATTGCTGGTACTGCAACGTTTATATTTTTAAAGTTAAACTATATTTCTACTAATTATTTGATCACTGTTGCCTTGATCCTATGTAGCAGTGCAGCAGCATCAAACTGCTTGTACCACAGTGGTTCATTTTCTTTTATTTTAAAAATAAATAAATAATAAAAAAAAAAGAGTTATCTGAAAATTTATGGTTTTTAACAATTATTGCACTGTAGTACCATATATGTACTTTGAAAGTTAAAAACTTTAATTAGCCAAGCCATTTAATCACTGTATGCTACTGTGATCTTCTGTAGCAGAAGATATGAGCTTGCCACTGGTCTGTTATTTGCCTTTTAGATATTACCAGGGCTTGCCAAATTTGTTTAGAATCTAGGAGCCAAACTAATTTTAAGTTTTAATTTTTTTTTTTTTTTTTTTTTTAAATGCAATGCTTAATGTAGTTGTTCTGGTATTTATAGCCTGTACCTGCAGACCTTTCAATGTAAACACTGCCTTTTCATAGAATGCATGTGTTTACATTGCTGACTAGTAACAGTCACTCAGATGGCCACTAGAGAGTAATTGGTGGTTTTCAGCTACATTCAGCGTCTCCACGCTCTGTATGGAGGCGCTGAATGTTCCCCATGGAGATGCTGATTCTTTTGCTGCGCATGCGCGATATCCTTCCTTAGCGGAGATCATAACGACTGATTATTTCAGCCATTGAGACAGGACCAGCCACAGAGAAATGGGCACGGGAAAAAAGGTGAGGAAAAACACTTCTCTCGTGCGATTGGAGGCGGGCAGGTACCTAAACAGACACACACACAGAAAGTTTAAAAGGTAATTACCAATTTTATTTTCTCCTGTTGAGTGGTGGCCAGGACAGTAGGTCTTTTCCCACTATTGTGTCTTAGGGCCCCATCCGCCGCGCATGGGTGGGGACAGAGGGAGGACACTAGGTCCCCCGTTAATTATTTTTATAGGTGCCCCACTAATGAGCACTTTATTAAAAGTAGTGGGGGTGTCTTTTTTACAACAGTTAGCAGCCACTGGCTGTGTTCACTGTTTAATAGACATGCCCCTACTCACAGTATAGCAAGTAAGTGTAGATTACTAATTAATCTTTACTTAGTATTAGTAAATTTGGCTGAGAGACTAATTTAGGTATTTCAGCCTTTTAGTAGATAGCTCCCAATTTAAATGAAATTCCAACCGAATTGCGTCCTGACACAAATGGACAAACCGTTCTCATTCTGTTAGGACGAAATTTGGTGGTTTTGCCGGCGTTCAAACGCCGAATGAAGCAACAGGTGGAATGTGAGAATTGTGGGGATATTGCTTTGACCACAGGAAATAGCGCGGACTTTGCTCCTCCCTTGGGTCAAAGCTGGTCAAGCGTAGGAAAAATACATATGATAAAATAGTCCCTACTTTGTGTTATGTTTTAAAGAAAACTAGAGCAGATAGGAAGAAATGAAGAACAGATCCTGAGAGAGGGATAGAAGAGGAAGCGATTGGGGAAAGATAAGTTCAGCATGACAGTGCCGCTTGAATGAATACTGTGATTAGACCAAAAATGTAAGTGGACTGGAAAGCGATAATTGCTTCATCTCATTGACTAGCTTTTAAAATCCCCTTTGCCAACGGTTTGACAACTTACTAGGGGCCGTCGCCTTCTCTGAATCTTGAAAGCTTTTTGCATTAAAGGGACAGGTTATTTACTACACATCTCACTTTGCCTTGAGTACATTTCACTTATTGTTTTGATATAATCGTCCACTGGTAATAGGCAACTAAAAGGATTTTTCTTTCTAAAACAGCATTTTTTGAGTGCAGTATCATATGCTTGTGTAAAGTCTCTCATGGCAATTGGAGAAACTAAATAACCTCCATTTGATGAAATATGCATAGGGATTTGGGAAGAGCACAGGTAACTTTTTTCTTTAGTTTTTACTGTATGCATTGGGGCTGATGTGTACTATGGTCATTGCTGCTGCCCAGGAGTGATGGGAGTTTGAGAGCAGTACTTGTTTTTTGTATTAATATGATACATTTTCTTGTATGCTAGGTTCTTTAGTTTTAGTACAAATAAATGTTTTGCTGAACGCTGGACCATAAGCCTGCCTCCTTATCAATGTCCCTTAATGCCAAAATACTTCTTTATCAAATGTAAGGGTATACAGAAAACATCTACATACGTTACGTAACTCACAATTTGTAGCATTTTGGTGTATCCCTGCTGTGAATGGAGTATCCCTCACTCAGTCTTGTGTCAGAGGCAACAAGAGCAAAATCCTCACCTGCAAGAGCCAGCACTGTACTGTGAAGAAAAAAAGAAAATGCACACTGGATTAAAAAGGAAGTAAAAGCAGTGTTTCAAGTCAACTAATGACAAGCTGTGCAAATGCATTAAAGAAAATAAACATTTCTTTTAACGACAGTACCACGTAAACAAACCAGTAAAAGTGTGCATTAAAGGGATAGTCAAACTGCATAATGCTCTAGTGGTAATAGTGCCAGGAATTCCCTCGCACCATCAAATTGACACTTGCTTTGTTGGTACTTCCATTCTGCACTTGTATTGTAAAGCGGAAGTTCATACTTTATACATTGAGAGTATCAACTACCATTTGTATAGAGCCGCTTCATACCTTTCCGCTACACATTGGCTATAGGACTGCAACAAGTCGTAGTTAACTCTGGGTTAGCTGACATAACTTCCTTGCAGTACCTCCTTCAGGACATCAACATTGGCCTACAGCCTAGTTATGGATCAGTCCAATGGCGCATGTGTGGCAATTTCCATGCTCCACTGACAGAATGCTTCTCATGGAGAAGCAATGTTTCCAATGAGTCTCTATAAAAAGTCATCACTGACACTTTAAGCAAGTGCTAAAATCGTGTGAAGAAGACAATTCTCACAGCTCTCTGATAGCTGGAAAAGTATAACTAGGGAGAGATAAGAATGGATTTTTTTGCTGTATTATAAGAAAAATAAAATGAACACAAAGCACTTTAGCAATCTTTAATCCTCAAAAAGAACCGATGTGGATGCAATGGTCCTTTAGCTTTATCCCTGCAATATAAAAGACTGAGGTTTAATAGATAAGAATGCTTACACTGCAGGGCTAAAGGCACCCTTTGTGGCTGTCTTCCAGGGAGCCAAGGAGGCTCTTCTGCTGATAGAGTGAAAAACTGTTCTCACAGCTAACCTCCATTTGATTGGAAGAGCGTGACACTGGCTGCAGATGCGCTTTTTGTTCCCACTGCTCCTTAAAGGACCACTCTAGCTTAATGAAGTGGTCTGGGTGCCAGGTCCAGCTAGGGTTAACCCATTGTTTTATAAACATAGCAGTTTCAGAGAAACTGCTATGTTTATCAATGGGTTAAGCCTTCCCCCAAAGCCTCTAGCGGCTGTCTCATTGACAGCCGCTAGAGGCACTTGCGTGCTTCTCACTGTGATTTTCACAGTGAGAGCACACCAGCGTCCATAAGAAAGCATTGATAATGCTTTCGTATGCGACCAGCTGAATGCGCGCGCAGCTCTTGCCGCGTGTGCGCATTCAGCCGACGCTGCGGATCGGAGGCGCAGAGGAGAGCTCTCCGCCCAGCGCTGGAAAAAGGTAAGTTTTAACCCCTTTCCCCCTTCCAGAGCTGGGCGGGAGGGGGTCCCTGAGGGTGGGGGCACCCTCAGGGCACTATAGTGCCAGGAAAACGAGTATGTGTTCCTGGCACTATAGTTGTCCTTTAATCAAGAGCATTAGAATTGATAGGAAAAAAAAAAAAAAAAAAAGTATGTGATGCTGCAGAAGGCAGAATGATTGGTTACTAGAACTGGGTCTCAATGATGAGAAAAAAAGAAAGAAAAAAAAGTTAGCAAAACCCTTTCTTCTATTTATTTAGATTGATGTAGGAAATGGGCCCTTAAATGTAATGCAGAGGAAAACACTATAGCATTACAGCTTTGTCCTAACCCTGTAGTGTTCTTTTGTGTGTTTGGATTATTCCTTTTATAAGTGCCAACATTATAACTGGGATTGTCCTGGGCAGTTTATAGGCAAATTTAGCTATACGTAGGCATCCCTCTCAAGCAACAATTCAAGTGGATGTGAAATTAGGGTTACTCCAACCACCATGGCCATTTATGCTTTTAGAAGTGGTCACGGTGGTAGGAATGCTTGAAATGTTGCACTGTTGGAGATATTTGCAATTTTGTGAGTTCTGGGTTGCGTAATGTCAATTCTGTGTAAAAAATGTCTGTCTGCAGCGCACAGTTGACAGACCCAGTCAGCTTCTCCTCTTGCAGGCAACATATAGTGAGTCTCCATTTTTTTTTTGTCTCTCCTTCGTTCCTGGCTTAGAGCTTGTGCTATGAACTGAGAAAACCGTGAAGCAAAGTTTTGATTGGATCAAAGAGATTAAGGCTGAATAGTCAGAAGTCAGGGTGTGGAATCCAGCAATGGGAGTTCTATCCTGTGCTGAATTCGAGATTACTTTATACTGAAGAGTGGTGGTTGACCCAGTAAGGCATTTTGTATTAAAACACATTAAATAGGGTTGAGGTAACCATTAATAAAGTAGAGAAACCATTAAGGTGTGCATTAGAACCATGGCTCTATGAAGTGTACCAAGTCCATGAAACCCTAGCAGGCATAGGCAACCTTCGGCACTCCAGATGTTTTGGACTACACCTCCCATGATGCTTTGCCAGCATTATGGGTGTAAGAGCATTATGGGGGATGTAGTCCAAAACATCTGGAGTGCGGAAGGTTGCCTATCCCTGCGTAGTGAGCACTAGGAAATAACATTGTGTGTGAGATACTGACTGACCGCCCAGCTCGGTGGGTGTCTGCAGTGACATGCCGGGGGTACCGGGCTTGCTCGCACCATTTAACCCTCACTCCCAGGAGCAGCCAGAGAGCGGAGTCCCCCCAACGGTGAGAATGGGGCAGCAGGAGACGCTCTGTATATTGGCGGCATGCAGAGCCCGGCACAGCAGCCATGCTGGAGCTAATCACCAGCCAGCCAGCCGGCCGGGAGTGCAGGAGACAGACAGACTCTTACCCTCCGTTAAACGTGTAAGGGCTGAAACGATGTTCGACTGGGCCGGTGTAGTGATACTCCATTTTACCGCCGGCCGGAGCGTAGGCTTGAGGAGCAGCCGACATATACATCTTCAATAGACAAACTAACAATACAAAATGAAAGTGAGAGCTGGCATAAAGCTCAGTGCTGTATCACTATCAATATGGCGATTTCAGCACTTCCGCTTCCCGTACTTCCGGTGACGTCAAATCAAAGCTTTGCATCATCGTCGCGTTAGACCCGCCCCCTCCGGCAGGTTAGAGGGGACCTGTAACCATGCCTGTAACAGCAAGAGCAGGATTACTAGCTGCACGCCGAATAGCATGGACTCAAGCGGTTTAATATGCTTTACTAGTAATTCAGTACTGTTGGAAAAACTTTAAATGTTTTATCTACAAAAATAAACCCCATAGATGTTAATGGTGATTGTTGTAGATAAATAATTTGGAAAGTGTATTGGATCATTTGCTAAGCTTATATCAGTGTGGCGAATTTGAGGCTCAAGTAGCCAAAATGCAACTATTGCTGAGCTAGTGAATTTTTCAGTAGCCATCCAATTTAACCTAAAGTTTGTCCTTCAAATAGTTTCCAAAGCACAGATGTTAAGGTCTCAGGTTTGTAGTTACCAGGTTGAGCTTTTAGCTATGCACTTACTCCCTGTTGTGGTTTAACCCCTTAAGGACCAAACTTCTGGAATAAAAGGGAATCATGACATGTCACACGTGTCCTTAAGGGGTTAAATTCAGCAGACAGCAATGTTTTCTCTCAGGTATGAAGACAAGGAATGGACACAGCAGAAATACAAGCTCAGAGGGCAGTACTCGTTCACACAAGTGTATGACAAAATACTGCTCCTAATTTTAATGGGGAAAACACAGATCTTATAACAAAATTCTATACACATCCAAAAAGGAGTTGTCTTCACTAGAGATGTCGCGAACTGTCCGCCGAACTGTTTGCGAACTGTCCGCCGGCGAACAATAGCGTGTTTGCGTTGGGCGAACATATCCGATTTCCGGTCCGCCCCCTATACGTTATCATTGAGTAAACTTTGACCCGGAACCTTACAGCCAGCAGACACATTCCACCCAATCAGCAGCAGACCCTCCCTCCCAGGAAGTGTCTGCTGACTGTGAGGTTCCGGGTCAAAGTTTACTCGATGACGTATAGGGGGCGGACCGGAAATCGGATATGTTCGCCCAACGCGAACACGCTATTGTTCGCCGGCGGACAGTTCGCGAACAGTTCGCGACATCTCTAGTCTTCACATAATACAGTCATGTCCTGTCAATTGCATATTAAAAGAACTTCAAGCACATTTGGCATTAGCTGGTCAAAAGATGTTACTTGATTAAACAAACACTTTCCAACAGTTATAAAGACAAGGTGTTAACAGGATATGGAGTGCAGGGGGGGGGGGGAACAAGAGGATACAAATCAGGATCATAGGCCAGCTGTTATAATAGAGCATCCTGACATTACTCAATCAACTGTATAGCGTGACACAGGATATAAGGGGGAAAGGTGCTCATTAATCCATATCACTCCCTTTAATACATGGATTCACCTTTGTACTCCCTTATAGTGAACCTATTATAACATTTTCACTTTAAAGAGTTACAATACCACCATAACCACTTTATTGATTTGAAGTGGTTATGGTGTTAAGAGCATGTATGGTTAGTGTTTCAAGTTTATATGCACTCTGTTCTGGTGGGCTGCAAATGTCAATTCTCCCTCCCGCTTTCCTCTGTTGCAGACTTTTCTTTATTAAAAAAAAATCCTCCCTCCTCTTCCCCACTTTTGCCCATGCTGGCTCGGACCATGTGCATTCGCTCTGAGCAGGTAATGTGTCAAATCTGTAATTGGACCGCAAGTGACACCTGTGACATTGGAGGGGGCACGGGAGCTTCGTACGGCGCCGGATTATTCAAGGTGAAATTTTTTTTACAGGTTTTATTGCAAACGGAGAGGAGACCTTCTCTATACTGTCTAATGGGGCATATTACACAGAAAAAGCCAACACCTCTCCAAAGGGTTAGAGTCAATCACCAATCAATGCATTAAATACATCATATGTCACAGAATATGTGTTAATTTGTGTGTGTGAATTAATGCATCTCACTGTGAGTGTGTCTGTATTAGACCTCCACAGGTTTATTTAGTGAGAAAAGTGAATTCAAATTAAAAAAATATTTTAAAATGCTTTTTTAGGGGTGGACATATAGAAAAATGCTAATAGGAAATTATTCTAATAAACATGAAAAAGGATGGAGAATCCTTGTAAAGTATGTAAAACTATTTCCTGGATATATCCATGGCAGCACTACAGATGGGTATACCTCCTACCGCTTACAAATTGGACAGAATCACCTCCTAATCAAAATAATAAAAGAGAGACGCCTTCCCCTACATTTGCACCTAATTTTTTCTTTTGTGGCTTACTTGGTACTCCTGTACCCCGATCCAATGGTTGGGTTCCGCCTCTCTTCCAATGGAAGCCCCAGGATACTGCGCCTCACCAAGGGCGACCCCCTAGAGGAGTCTTCCCTTACCAACAGGGGAGCATATGCTGCAGTGACAAATTAGGTAGCAGCTGGATGTGCCAGACCCACTAAGCTAGAATGTCCCTAATATGGATGATTAAGGCAGTTTGTGACATCCTTGAATTAAGGGATAAGACAGAGGAGCAGCCGAACTCTAGCAAGCATTTTGCAGACCTAAGGAAAGGAACCCTACTTTTCCATTTCATGAAACAATCGAGGAATTGATTAAGGAGGAATGGAGGAAGACTGAAAAGAAAGTCTCCTTGCAAGGTCGGCTTTCTAAGCTTTATCCATTATGCTCCTTGGGATTCAGCTCCCAAAGTTGATGCGGCTATTATTTGTCTGGCCAAAAAGACTACCTTACGGATTGACCATGCTGGATCACTTAGAGAGTCAATGGATCGTAGGATGGGCGCCAATTTGTGTAATGCCTATATTATCTCTGGTTCTGGGCTTCATCCAGCTGAGGCTTTGACATCTGTCTCTAGGGCCTTGAAGCAATGGTCGGAAGACCTCGAAGAGGATATTTCCCATGGGGTCAGGAGATCTAGAATTCTAGATACTTTAAGGAATTTCAAAATGGCCATTGAATTCTTCTCTGATGCTTCCATTGATTTGGTCAGAGCCCTATCTAAAAGCATGGTCCTGTAAGTAGCCTCAAGATGTGCATTGTGGCTTAGAAATTGGTTGGCAGACTTAGCTTCCAAGAACAGCTTATGTGCCCTTCCATTTCAAGGGGATATGCTTTTTGGAAAGCATTGAGACGAATGCATTATAAGGGCAATGGAATGACGTTAAGCTTTTCTTCCTCAGGATAGACAAAGGAGGTCCTTTCCAAAAGACAGACGTTCCTTTCGTGATAAAGATTATAGACGTTACGGATACCAAAACATGGAAAGGGGGTTTCTCCTCCTCAAAAAATTATTGAGGGAGAGGTGGAAGTACCAGACAGTCCAGACAGTTTTGATGGAGCACCAGTCCAGTCTAGGGGACCAAGACTTCTAAACTTCTCTGAGATCTGGGTTCAAAATATTCCAGACAAGTGGGTCTTAAAATTATAAATACAGGTTCTCCAACATTCCTTGCCTAGACCAGAATTCCTCAAGATCCAGAAAAACCAAACGCGCTCCATGACTTTGTGACCTCTCTCCTTGCAGACGGAGTCATTTGTCATCTTCCATCAAGAGAAAAAATATTGGGGTATTACTGAAAACCTTTTCTAACTCCAAAAGAATCAGGGCAGTGGAGGCCAATATTGGATCTTCACGATTTCAACGAAGGATTGTCTGTCAAAAAAAAAGATGGAATCCATCAGTTCCATCATCAAAGTGGTCTCTCCAGGGGATTGGATGATCTCCATAGATCTTTGTGGTGCCTACTTGTGCCTATCGCCATTCCTCACCAGAAATTCCTCAGATACCAGTTCTGGTCTCTTCCATTCGGCCTAAGCACTGCACCCAGAACCTTCTCGAAGATTCTGATTTCCTTAATTGCTCATATTCGTTTGGAAGGCATAGCAATTTACCATTACTTGTACAATATTCTTGTCATCTCCAACAACAAACATCAACTGAGTCTCCATCGAATTCTTCTCCTTCTCCAGAAGTTCGGCTGGATAGTCAACTTCAAGAAAAGTCAGCTATCTCCATCCCAAGTAATGGTGTACCTAGTTTGATACAGCAAAAGCACTGGTAGCTCTAGTCTTGGACAGAGGTAAAAAAATTCAGCCGAAAATTTTCCATCTCTCTCCCTGCCAGTCAGTTACAGCAAGGGAAGTCGTAAGCCTTTTAGATAGCCTATCATCAACAATAGGGCTTATGAGATGGTGACAGTGGCACATGAGAATTCCTCAAAGAGAGTTCCTCTACCAGTATTTGAATTTACACCCTGTTTCAAATTATTATGCAAATTCTATTTAAGTGTCACAAAAATTAAATATTTTGTTTTTCAGTTTAACTCATGGATGGCATTGTGTCTCAGGGCTCTTTTGATCACTGAAAACTATTTTGGACACCTGTGATAATTAGATTACCAGGTGAGCCCAATTTAAGGAAAAACTACTAAGCGAGGGTGTTCCACATTCCACAAAAAGGATCTCTCTACTGCCGAAAAGAGTGAAATAGTTCAATGCCTTGGACGAGGTATGAAAACATTAGATATTTCACGAAAACGTAAGCGTGATCATCGCACTAGTAAGAGATTTGTGGCTGATTCAGAGCACAGACGGGTTCGTGCAGATAAAGGCACATTAAGGAAGATTTCTGCCATATCCATGAATCGGATCAAGAGAGTAGCTGCTAAAATACCATTACATAGCAAACAGATATTTGAAGCTGCTGATGCCTCTGGAGTCCCACGGACATCAAAGTGTAGACCTCCAGAGTCTTGCAACTGTGCATAAACTTTCTATTCGGCCACCACTAACCAATGCTCACAGGCAGAAATGGCTGCATTGGGCAGAAAAATACATGAAGACTAATTTTCAAACAGTCCTGTTCACTGATGAGTGCCGTGCAACCCTGGATGGTCCAGATGGATGGACTAGTGGATGCGTGGTGGACGGCCACCCTGTTCCAACAAGGCTGCGACGTCAGCAAGGCGGTGGTGGAGTCATGTGTTGGGCCAGAATCATGGGAAGATAGTTGGTCAGCCCCTTTAGGGTCCCCGAAGGTGTAAAGATGACCTCTGCAAAGTATGTGGAGTTTCTGACTGACCACTTTCTTCCCTGGTACAGAAGGAAGAACTATGCTTTCTGTAATAAAGTCATCTTCATGCATGACAAAGAATACCTGATGCAAAGAATACCTCTGCATCAATGGCTGCTATGGGGATAAAAGGAGAGAAAGTCATGGTGTGGCCTCCATCCTCCCCTGACCTCAATCATATTGAGAACCTTTAGAGCATCCTCAAGCAAAAGATCTATGAGGGTGGGAGGCAGTTTACATCCAAACAGCAGCTCTGGGATTCTGACATCTTGCAAACAAATTCAAGCAGAAACTGTCCAAAAACTCACAGGTTCAATGGATGCAAGACTTGTGAAGCTGCTGTCAAATAAGGGGTCCTATGTTAAAATGTAACGTGACCTGTTAGAATGTTTAAAAAGTTAAAATGTTGTTATAAGTTTGATTGAAATAGCTTTTGATTTCAGTAAATATGCTGCAAACACAACAAATGACAATTTTCATTTCTTTACAACCTATAAAGTGTTTTGAAACTTACTGTGCGTAATAATTTGGAACAGTGCATTGTAAGTTTTTTATGTTTAAAAAAATACTGTTATCATTAGGAGGTTTGTTCAGTAAAATTTGAATTGTACTCAATAGTTGATAACATGAGAATTATGCTGACTGTTATTTACATAAATTATTTAGGTAAATTAGAAAAATATCATTTGCATAATAATTTGGACCAGGGTGTAATGGTAGGTGTATTTTTAACAGTGAGACACAGAATAACAAAAAGAAATCCAGAAAAATGCATTTCAAAAAAGTTATAAATTGATTTGCATGTCAATGAGTGAAATAAGTATTTGATCCCCTATCAATCAGCAAGATTTCTGGCTCCCAGGTGTCTTTTATACAGGTAACCAGCTGAGATTAGGAGCACTCTCAAGGGAGTGCTCCTAATCTCTGCTCATTACATGAATAAAAGACACCTGTCCGCAGAAGCAATCAGTCATTCAGATTCCAAACTCTCCACCATGGCCAAGACCAAAGAGCTGTCCAAGGAGCTGTCAAGGACAAGATTGTAGACCTACAAAAGGCTGGAATGGGCTAAAAGACCCTCGCCAAGCAGCTTGGTGAGAAGGTGACAACAGTTTGTGCGATTATTCGTAAATGGAAGAAACACAAATTAACTGTCAGTCTCCCTCGGTCTGGTGCTCCATGCAAGATCTCATCTCATGGTGTTTCAATGATCATGAGAACAGTGAGGAATCAGCCCGGAACTACACGGGAGGATCTTGTTAACGATCTCAAGGCAGCTGGGACCATAGTCACCAGGAAAACAATTGGTAATAAACTACGTCGTGAAGGACTGAAATCCTGCAGCGCCCACAAGGTCCCCCTGCTCAAGAAAGCACATGTACAGGCCCGTCTGAAGTTTGCCAATGAACATATGAATGATTCAGAGGAGAACTGGGTGAAAGTGTTGTGGTCAGATGAGACCAAAATCGAGCTCTTTGGTATCAACTCAACTTGCCGTGTTTGGAAGAGGAGGAATGCTGCCTATGACCCCAAGAACACCATCCCCACCGTCAAACATGGAGGTGGAAACATTATGCTTTGGGGGTGTTTTTCTGCTACGGGAACAGGATCACTGCACCACATCAAAGGGACGATGACCGGGGCCATGTACCGTCAAATCTTGGGTGTGAACCTCCTTCCCTCAGCCAGGGCATTGAAAATGTGTCGTGGATGGGTATTCCAGCATGATAATGACCCAAACCACACAGCCAAGGCAACAAAGGAGTAGCTCAAGAAGAAGCAAATTAAAGTCCTGGAGTGGCCTAGCCAGTCTCTAGACCTTAATTCCATAGAAAATATGTGGAGGGAGCTGAAGGTTCGAGTTGCCAAACGTCAGCTTTGAAACCTTAATGACTTGGAGAGGATCTGCAAAAAGGAGTGGGACAAAATCCCTCCTGAGATGTGTGCAAACCTGGTGGCGAACTACAAGAAATGTCTGACCTCTGTGATTGCCAACAAGGGTTTTGCCACCAAGCACTAAGTCGAAGGGGGCAAATACTTATTTCACTCATGGCATGCAAATCAATTTATAACTTTTTTACATGCGTTTTTCTGGATTTGTTATTCTGTCTCTCACTGTTACATACACCTACCATTAAAATTATAGACTGATTATTTCTTTGTCAATGGGCAAACGTTCAAAATCAGGGGATTAAATACTTTTTTTCACTTACTGTACCTGTCAATCCGGTTGGAGTGCACTCCTGGATACCCATCACATCCAGAGTATTTGGAAAAACAGAGTGAAACACCAATCTTTAAACATCTTGGAATTACAGGCTGTATTCCAAGCGCTTCTCCGGTTTCCCTCTCTGAAACATCAATGGGTAAAGAATATGAAGGGCCTCAAGGCAGTCTATCTACCTGGCAATGACAACCAGCTGGCAGATTCTCTAAGAAGAGTGGCATGGGCCCTCTCTTCCCAAGCTTTCAAGTGCATAGTCCAGAAATAGGGCCTTCCACAAGTAGACCTGATGGCAACATCCCAAAACAGCAAGGTAAGAAGGTTCTTCTCGCGATTCTTCAACCCTTTGGCGGAAGACAGGGATGCACTATGCTGCGAGTGGAGGTTCCATCTAGGATATGCATTTCCCCAACACCTATCATATTTTCTCTTCTGAAGAGAATCCAACAAGAACATGTGACCATCATAGCAGTTATTCTGTATTGGCCTAGATGGCCATGATTTCCTCTGTTACAGAAATTATCTCGGGATCTCCCTCTAGATCTGTCTCTCCAACACCAGTTACTCCATCAAGGTCCAGTCCTCCATCTTGCACCCCAGACTTTGAAGTAAATGGTGTGGAAATTGAGAGGCAACAACTCTTAAAGATAGGCTTCTCCATATCGGTAGTTTAAACTTTGCTTAAAACAAGGAAAATATCAACTTCTTTGGCATATTACCGTATAGTTTATTTTCTGCAGTTGGTGTACTATTTATAAAATTTCTCTGCAACTTCCAGGCATAAATAATATCCTTCAGGATGGATTTGAAAAAGGTCTCAGCCTCAGCACCTTAAAAGTGAAGATTTCAGCCCTCTCTATCCTCTTGGATCAAAAGTTGGCATTTAAACCAGATATTGGAAGATTCTTTTACGCCATCCTAAAACTTTGTCCTCCACTGAAGTCTTGCTCTCTTCCCTGGGACTTGCCTCATGTATCACAAGCTTTGTCTGGTGCTCCATTTGAGCCCTTGGAAAATACTGCGTTACTGACTTTAAGAGTGAAAAGAGTCCTTCTGGTGGCACTTACATCAGGTTGAAGAATTTCAGAGCTTCAGGCTCTTTCATGTGAATCTCCTTTTTTTTCTTCGACAAGAGGATATAGTTGTTCTTCGGACTGTTCCAACTTTTCATCCTAAGGTTATGTCTTCTTTTCATGTTAACCAGGATATTATCTTACCAGCATTCTTCCCTTATCCTTCATCTGAAAAAGAAAAGAGGTGTCATTTTCTGGACTTGGTCCGTTGTATATCGATTCACCTGGACTGTTCATCTGACATCAGGAAGTCATCTAGCCTTTTTATCATCCCTTTTGGTCATAATATGGGTCAATTGGCTTCCACAGCAACTACTGGACGGTGGATAATCACAGCCATTTCTCAGGTGTATGAGGCCTCAGGGGTACAGGTGCCATTGGTTACACAGATCATTGGCCTCTTCATGGGCAGCTGCAGCCAATATTTCTCCTGACCATATTTGTTCAGCAGCAACTTGGTCCTCATTCAACACCTTCATTCACCATTATCTGTTGGATGTTGTCAGAACCTTTACCTCTGAGTTTGGTAGAAGCGTTCTATCAGCTGCATTGTAATTATGTAAATAATAAATGCGTGTTACAGTGTTTTTGTTTCTTTCTCACCCTGACATATTTAAGCTTAGGTATAACCCATCAGTAGTGCTGCCGTGAATATCATGAGAATTTCAGGCTTCAGGCTCTTTCGTGTGAATCTCCTTTCCTTCTTCGACAAGAGGATATAGTTGTTCTTCGGACTGTTCCAACTTTTCGTCCTAAGGTTATGTCTTCTTTTCATGTTAACCAGGATATTATCTTACCAGCATTCTTCCCTTATCCTTCATCTGAAGAAGAAAAGAGGTGGCATTGTCTTGGTCCGTTGTATATCGATTCACCTGGACTATTCATAGGAAGTCATCTAGCCTTTTTATCATCCCTTATGGTCATAATAAAGGTCAGTCGGCTTCCACAGAAACTACTGGACGGTGGATAATCACAGCCATTTCTCAGGTGTATGAGGCCTCAGGGGTTCTGGTCCTGTTGGTTACACAGATCATGGACAGCTGCAGCCAATGTTTCTCCTGACCATATTTGTTCAGCAGCAACTTGGTCCTCATTCAACACCTTCATTCACCATTATCTGTTGGATGTTGCCAGATCCTTTACCTCTGAAATTGGAAGAAGCGTTCTATCAGCTGCATTGTAATTAATGTAAATAATAAATGCGTGTTACAGTGTTTTTGTTTGTTTCCCACCCTGACATATTTAAGCTTGGGTATAACCCATCAGTAGTGCTGCCATGAATATATCTGTGAAAATAGAAAATGTATTCCATACTTAACAATATTTTCGTTTCCTGGATATAGGCCATGGCAGCACTACAGTCCTGCTCTTTTTGGTTTCTTGTTTGTGGCTTGGGACTTAGACTGAAGGGTAGGGGGAGGCATCTCTCTTTTATTATTTTAATTAGGAGGTGTTCCTGTCCAATTTGGAAATGGGAGGAGCTATACCCATGCGTAGTACTGCCATGGCCAAATCCAGGAAACAAAAATATTGGTAAGTATGGAGTAAATTTTCTATTTAGGGGGCAACGGATAGCTATAGTTACTAGAACACTATAGCGTTAGGAATACACTTTTGTATTCCTAAAGCAATAGTCTTCCTTTACAGTCAAAATAGGTGAACTGGAAATATTCTCCAGCTCAGCTATGCTTTTAATTTGGCTACTCTGGCATTACATTTCAAGTTCACTATGAATTCTCACGTTAGTAAATAACAGTCAGGGTATTGAACTAAAGTGAGAATTCAAAGTGAATTTCAAAATAGCAGGACTAGAAAAAAATCTCTAAGCCAGCTAGGCTTCCAGTTTGGCTACTCTGGCCTTAAATTTGAAATTCACTTTGAATTCATCTACTTATTAAAAAAAACAAAAACTGTTTTCCTGTAAAAAAAAAAAAAACAAGCAAAAAAACCCCACTTATGTTTAACCCTTTAAATGCGGATAACAGTGTTAACTGCTGTGATTAGTGCAATTATTACTGTTCATTTGTTGTTGGGTTTTTTTTGTGTGGGGTCAGATTTTTTTCCTTTTTTATTTAACTTTTTGTCAGTTTTAATAATTTTCTATTTTTTTTAAAACACTTTTCCTGCTGTCCAATGACTGTAATCAGTCTGAATTGCAGGGCACATTACTTTACAGCATAAGAGGCTTACGGCATTCAAATGTGCTCAAAGAGTGAAACATTTAACATCTCTGACAGTGCCACTTTTGCAGCCCCAGATAGAGCCCCTAAGCAAGTCCTCTAGTGATGGCGCTACTAGAGAACCACCATCTACAAGGAGGTGCTCAGAAAGCCTTTCAGTGTCAGATAAAAACTGGGTACCCCCAAACCTCACTGCCCATTTATTACAACCAGCGTTGAAGTTTGTGAGCCAGTAAATTATTTTAATCTTGTTATGTTGTACATCAAATTTAGGCCTCTCAACCTCTCCCTTGGTCCTAACGCACTTGCTCTATGCTCAGATTGTTAGGACCCTGCAGAGAGCACTGAAACAGTGCTCCCTGCATGGTCAGTCCTTGGTAGGGTGGCCTATTTGTTTGGCAGGCAGCCTGGCGTGAATTCACACCAGGCTGTTCTGTCCTGTCATTTCTATGGGTGCTTTCATCTTGGCTTGTTTCTGAGGATTTATTATAGATGTAGTTGGTTACGCTAAATAGGGTGGATTATTGCTGTACTGGGTTTAGCTAAACGGCATTGTACCCCGTATTTCCACAAATGTGTTAGATAATTGTAATAATTCTATTAATTGCATCATTGGCCCACCCCCTTTCCGTCTCTAACTGGCATCCTACTTCACAAGAAACCAAAGTTGAGAAATATGCATATTTTGAGCAATTTGTATGCCTACCAATATCTCTATACATACCCCAAGTCACACCACACACACAGAAGAAAAAACACCTAATACCCCACCGAGTTCTCAGAAATTAAAATATTTCAAGCACTGACCTTAGGAATAGGTATAATAAAAACAAAACAACTTTTTCTAGGGATTATGAAGAGGGATAGAAATGAGCAAATGTTGTGATTCTTCCATTTTAACCACACTTAGTGTCCTTGTAGAAATGACCCACTCTATGACAGGCTATACAGCCCCATATGAAACAGCGGTCTGATAAGTTTTCCAAAAAATACATACCTGAAAAAAAAACTTGTGCATAGTAGAATCCCTAGGGAAGTAAGTGATATATCGTATCAAAGCAGTTACTCTATGGGATTAAATATTACGTATTAAGCGCATGCACTACTGGCTATACCTGGGCACTTCACATTTATCAAAGGAACAATAGCCATCTTGACCCACCACGATTCCTTGATTCCCAAGATTGTGTAGGATCTTCTCCTTCCATGATGAATGAAGGCTACCATCAGAGGTTTCCCCCAAAATTAAAATGCGGCAAAAACCATAGAGGCTCCATTTCAGCTTTATGACAGGATGAGGTGCCGGCCCTTCAGTACACTGATAAAAAGATGAGTACATGCTGTCTACAATGCACAACGAAAGTGCATTGTTAAGTGTAGAAAACAATTGGGGCAGGGCCAAACTGGGAAAAAATTTTAGCACAGGTATTTTTTAATCACGAGGGCCCAGTGAGAAGGAAACGGGAACATAGAGGAAATTTGTTGTGTCATTACCAATGACAAACACGCCCCTTCCCTCCCCCCTTTAAAATGAGCATATTGGTTCAACTGTGCATTTGCCCGATGGCCAAACCAGGCATGGATGCGAGTGAGGGTATATTTGGTTGAATCGTGCATACAGCCTTATTGTGACGTATTCATCCGCATATAAAAATGTGATTAATGACATTTACTGTTCTGACAGGAAAAGTTGTGCCGAGCAACATTACTGTCCTGACAGGAAAAGTTGTGCTGAGCAGCAATCAAATTCACAGGAGGGTTTGTGCTGAGCAGCAATTATGCAAATGAGAAACCTGGTAACTGCCATTGGAGTCAAATGCCGATTACAGCCTATCAGAGGAAGGGTATTTAGGCCCAGTTTTCATCCTACTCAGTGCCCTGTTGTGGTTTCCCTTGTGGTTGTCCGAGAGCGCATTATTGATTCTGGTTATTCTGGTAATTTGACTTTGGCATTGTTTTTGACTTTCCTGTTTTCTGGCATCCCTGACTTTCCTGTTTTCTGGCTTTTCCTTATCATTGTGTCTCTTTCTGTGTCCCTTGACCTTGGCTATTCCTGACTATTCTTTAGTCCAGCCATTCTAAGTATACGTTACCTATTAGTCCTCTGTGTTACACAATTCTACGTGCTGGATCATACTGTAATCCTGACACTTATTTGGTTAACCGCAAGACTAAAACCTGCTGTAAACAAATTGCCATATACTTTACCCGTATCTACAATTCATATGTGCTGAAAAGAAAAGCAGCTACAGTGAAATCATAGCATTTTATTGGTTTTACCTTAAAACTTTTATCAGGTAATTTATTTACCAAGTCCATAATCCTTCCACATTTTAGTCCATGTGTGTCCAGAGCCTGCGGAAAGCACTTTCTTTCTAAGATCCTCCCTAACGCTTGCAAAAAAAAACATCCAAGAGAAAGTGTTGAGTGTCTAACTTGCAAACTGCATGCCTCCTAACTGTCCCGATTTTGGTGGGACAGTCCTGATTTTTGGGTCCTGTCTCAATGTCCCAACTAAACCAGGAACTGTCCCCAATTATCATTGCATGAGCGCATCACTAGAAGCATATTTAGGGCACTGAGCCAGACTGACCTGCCAGTAATGAGGGTGGACACACAATATTTCCGGGCAGGTCGACTCCATTTCCATACATGTCTGCCTCTTTTGGGCAGACCTAGTGACACAATCGCATCACTGGCCTGCTTCCTTTCCTTCCCTCCCACTGGCGTCCCGATTCTGGAACTGGCGATGTTGGGATGTATGAGACTGTTTCACAGTCTACCATAAAGAGCTAAACTATTGAGTTGAATAACTCTGTGACCCTATTTATTGGTTATTCTGGATTCCTGATCTCGGTTTGTCATTATTATGCTTATTATTCAGCTGCCTGTTCCAACTTATTTTCATGTTATACCCTTCACCTTGGCCTGTCCCTGCTTAAGTTAAGCTCAGTCTTGATAAAGTGGCTACAGTAAATAATTTAAAATATCCCATTTTGAATATCCTTGGTTGTCTACTTTTGAAAATGGTTTGCCAGCAAGGGGGTAATTATCTTTCCTGGTCGTTCATACTGCCTCAAAGGTGAACATAAGCCCAGAAAACCAATTTGTCAAATTTCCATGTATGAAGATTGAAATAGGCAGGTCCAATATTTGGCCTGTAACTTCCAGGAATAAAACCCCAATAAATCCTGTACACGAGGGGTATTGTTGTACTTATAGGACATGGCTGAACATAAATATGGGTGTTTTATTGTTTTAAATCATATAAGGATGATGATATAAACAGTGAAAGTGAAACGATCGTGTTAAAAACACACAAAAATATGAACACTAAGTTTGGCCAGGTTTTGTGACTAAGCGGCTACTAAAAAGTCTGGACTTTTGCAAAAAGCATGTCATTCAATACCACAGAGAGTAATTTTCTTCATTGGACAGTCATGCTGCTTCAAAGGCAACATAAGCACAGAAAATTAATTTTGAAAATTTCTATTTGTAAATATTGAAATGACCAGGTACCATATTTGTCCTTGTAACTTCCAAAACCCCAATTAAAACCTTTACATGGGGATATTGTTGTACTTGTGAAACTTTGCAGAACACATATATTAGTGTTTTATAACACTGAAACCTCTCAGTATTATGACAAACATGGTAAAAAGTGCAATGCTGAACTTGGAAAAGACTATCTTAAGTTCTCAAACTTAATTAGATTTTAGAAATACAAGTACAGAGTTTAAGCGTGTGACCCAAATAGATACCAAATCACTCAAAAAACACCCGTGTGGTAACCTCTCTATCCACACAGCAAATAACATAAAATCATCTACATACAATGGGTGGAATGATACGGTTCAGGGTAAAGGATGGTGATATGAAGGCAAAAGGAGTAACTGTGAAGATAAAATGATATACAAGCACCTAGTGCAATATCATACAGTATAATATTTTATAAACATAAGATGTACGATTCAGTACTCACAAGGAGGGAGCCAATAGATAGTGGCTCAATCAGAGTGCCTGTGGGATGGTTTGGAGGGATCCCACTCCCTTTCAAGATACAGGTGGCCTTTCACTGGTTCCAAAAGAAGTGTCCACACCAATGGAGTATTGGGGACTAAATTCCTTTTAATGATGAACAGTAAAGTGCAAATATACAAAAATATACAATAAGAAAAAATGGAGACTTAATACTGAACTGTAGTGAAGTAAGTAAGTCCTCTGTGGGGTAAAAAAGAGTTGCAAAACGCGTTTTGCCCAAGTCGTGGGCTTCCTCAGTTGCTAATGATGTCCGTCTGATAGTGTGTTTTTATATCCATCCAGGAAGATGGTTTCTTCCGTGTTCGCACGGTTTTTCTGTTTCCGGTCGCATGTCGATGACGTGTTTCCGGTTCGCGGATTGTTGGTTAGATCGCTGTTGGAACGCATATGCGTTCCACACATTCAACAAGCTTTATTGTTCTTATTATTCCCTTTAGTCCATAAACAATATGAATATCGGGTTGTATACCCAGTATTTAATGGAGAAAATGGAAATAACTTAGTTATACATATGGAAAATCTCATAGACATGTTATATAAATTAATAAAAATCATTTAAAAAATTATATTATTGGGTTCACACACATATATAAAGCAAATCCATGATATAGAACTTGTAAGTAATATGGATAATTTGAATAAAAAATTAAAAATATATATATATAAAATCAATTATCTGTATAAAGAGTGTGGCTATACTTTGTAGCTTCTAAAATCCTAATGTTACTACATGGGTATGCTTCATATAAAAAATAGAACAGAAAGTGTTGTAGTGACATATTATAAAAAATGACAAATTTCAAAATCTGAATTGAGACCGTTTGGTATAAGAGTATTAAAATTAAAAATGAATTTCATTTCCTCTTTACCCAGCTTATTGATATAGTTACCTCCCCTCCAATCCTTTTGAACTGATTTTATTGCACAAAAAAATAAACCTGTAGGGTCTTGATTATGTTGAATTTTAAAATGCTGACAGAGTGTGTTTCAAGGCCTTTTTTAATATTGCGGACATGTTCCGCAATCCTTACATTCAAGGGTCGTATGGTTCTCCCTATATAGAGGAGATTGCATGGACATTTCAGGACATAAATAATTCCTTTAGAATGACAAGTAAGGTGATCTCTTATTTTGTATGGTCATCCTATTATTCCACCTATATCTACGAGATGTCTTTTTTTGTATTTTGTAACTCTGCATGGTAAACACTCCCCACAACCATAAAAACCTATCAGATTATTAATAAAATGCTTAGGTCTTGTTGTTTCTAAATTACTTCTAATTAACATATTTTTGAGGTTACTCGTACCTCTATAAATCATTCTTGGTTTAGAAGGTAGAATATCCTTAAGTATGGGGTCGTCTCTTAAGATATGCCAATGTTTATTAATGACTCTTTGTATTTTTCTCGTGTTTCCATTATATTTACTAATGAAAGGGACTTCGTTGGAATTATATGCCGTATTTTTAGATTTATATTTTAGAAGTTGGCTCCTTTCCAGGAGTCTGATTTCTTCCATGTCTTTCTTCAGATCTTCTTCATCATACCCTTTTTCTATGAACTGATTTTTTATGTATTCGGCCTGTTTAATATATTCTTCTTCTTCTTTACAGTTCCTCCTAATCCTTTTAAATTGCCCTTTAGGGGCATTGGTGAGCCAGGGAGTGTGATGGCAGCTGGTTCGGTTAATGTAACTGTTTGAGTCCACCGGTTTAAAATAATTTCTAGTAAAAATGCTAGATCCTTTTATATAAATATTAAGATCTAAAAAATTAATATTAATATTGCTCACATTACTAGACAATTTTATGCCCCAATCGTTAGTATTGAGAAACTCCAGAAAACGTGTCAATTCACAACTACTGCCTGTCCATATAAAAAATATTTCATCTATATACCTGCGGTAGGACACCAAGTTCGCCCTCCAGCCATGGCCAATGGAAATAAAGAATTCTTCCCAGTATGCCATGAATAAATTGGCATAGCTGGGGGCGAACTTGGTGCCCATCGCTGTACCGCAGATCTGTAGGTAAAAATGGTCCTGAAACCAAAAAAAATTGTTGGTTAAAATAAGTAAAATTCCTTCTAAAATGAACTCTATTTGTTCTTCTCTAAAAGATGATTTTTCTAAAAAGTACTTCGCTGCTTCCAGTCCTTTTTTATGGGGGATTATACTATATAGGGAGCTAACGTCACATGTGACTAGGAAGTTCCCTTCCTGCCATTCAGTCTGTTCTAATATTTGAAGCATATGGATGGTGTCTTTGAGATAGTATGGGTTTTTCACCACTAAAGGTTGCAGCATAATATCTATATATTCTGATATCCGTGTGGATACAGAGTCAATACCTGATATTATGGGCCTACCCGGTGGATTGTGTTGGTCTTTATGTACCTTAGGTAGGTGATAGAACACCGGTACTTTAGGGTAATCAATAGATAAGTAATTAGCTTCTTTTTCGTTAATGATTTTTAATTCCTTTCCTTTTAAGATGTATTCTTCGAATTTTTTCTGTATCTTATTTAGATTTTATTCATATTAAATATTGGTTCATACAGTATATACATTGATGTGAAATGAAAACCCTATTTGTTCTTAACAAAATGATATATAATAAGTGTGGGTGAAATAGGTAGTTTATGGTTTAACAAACATATAGCTTCAATTCTAGGTTTTCTTTTGGTTCAGAACTTGTGCCTTTGTCTAGACTTAAAGGACCACTATAAGCACCCAGACCACTTCAGCTTAATGAAGTGGTCTGGGTGCCAGGTCCAGCTAGGGTTAACCCTTTTTTTTTTATAAACATAGCAGTTTCAGAGAAACTTCTATGTTTATAAATGGGTTAATCCAGCCTGCAGTGGCTGTCTCTTGACAGCCGCTAGAGGTGCTTGCGTGCTTCTCACTGTGAAAATCACAGTGAGAAGACGCCAGTGTCCATAGGAAAGCATTGTGAATGCTTTCCTATGGACTGGCTGAATGCGCGCGCGGCTCCTGCCGCGCATGAGCATTCAGACGAAGAGGAGGAGAAGATGGAGGGGAGGAGAGGAGGAGGAGGAGAGCTCTCCGCCCGGTGCTGGAGAAAGAGGTAAGTTTAACCCCTTCCTCTCCCCAGAGCCTGGCGGGAGGGGGTCCCTGAGGGTGGGGGTACCCTCAGGGCACTATAATGCCAGGAAAACGAGTATGTTTTCCTGGCACTATAGTGGTCCTTTAAGAAAAGTAATTCGAACTAGAAAAGCTACAATTTCTGGGGAAATTGTGTGAAGTGTTCTTGCCTCCACCAGTAGTCTACAACTGGAGTGGGCAGAGTAACTGGGTGGAGTGGTTGTGTGGTTGGAGTGGCTGGAGTAACTGTGGAAAGGTTGGAGTGTGGTTCACTCACTCTACAGCAAGGGCAGAGAAGAGCTTTCAAATCTTTAAAATCCCTCGAACATTCCACCAACTGCCAATAGGAACTAATAGATTTCAAATAGGGCAGAGAAAAAGCGGTTGAAAACAAACTGCTCCAAATTGCTCACTTCACTGGCAGTTGCCATCTTCAAACGGTCGTATTTTAAAAACTATAAATCCTACAGCGAAGAGCTTTATATTGTGAGAATCACAAGACCCAGACCTACATGATGCATGTATGTCTCTGAAGTATTAAAAATGAAGGCACAGTCGCAGTTTAGAAATTGCCCTTCAGGTTTGAGCTGGCTAGAGTGGAGTTTAAATAAATGTCAATGGACGGCGTGAGCAGGGCCGTCTTTTACGCGGGGCCCAGTTACTCCTTGGGAGCCCAAAGCAGCTGCCCTGTGGCCCCGCCGCCCATAGCCTGCATAAGAAAAATTCCCTCCCCACCCGTGGGCCCGCGGTGCTTGTATTGCGGCTGCATCAGGGGCCCATACTCTAAGTGGGCTCACCGGGTGGCCAATACACTTAGGGCCACCTGGTGAGCACGCTTCAACAGGGACCCGGTCGGGTGCTGTGGCCCTTTAACAGCACGACCGGGCCCCCTGCTTTACGGCAGCCTGGGAGGAAGTGACGTCCGCGAGTCACTTCCTCCCTCAGAGATGATGAGCCGCGCGGGAGGGAGGCTGAGCCAGGAGGCAGCGAGGAGGGGGACTGAGCAAAGAGAGCCAATCCCCAACTCCCAGCCACCCAAGGCAGCACACTGGACCCCAGGTAAGGTAGGAAGATGGAGGGGGGCTTTACAGTTTGCATATGTGTATGTACAGTTGCAAGAAAAAGTATGTGAACCCTTTGGAATGATATGGATTTCTGCACAAATTGGTCATAAAATGTGATCTGATCATCATCTAAGTCACAACAATAGACAATCACAGTCTGCTTAAACTAATAACACACAAAGAATGAAATGTTGCCATGTTTTTATTTAACACACCATATAAACATTCACAGTGCATGTGGAAAAAGTATGTGAACCCTTGGATTTAATAACTGGTTGAACCTCCTTTGGCAGCAATAACTTCAACCAAACGTTTCCTGTAGTTGCAGATCAGACGTGCACAACGGTCAGGAGTAATTCTTGACCATTCCTCTTTACAGAACTGTTTCAGTTCAGCAATATTCTTGGGATGTCTGGTGTGAATCGCCTTCTTGAGGTCATGCCACAGCATCTCAATCGGGTTGAGGTCAGGACTCTGACTGGGCCACCTCAGAAGGGGTATTTTCTTCTGTTTAAGCCATTCTGTTGTTGATTTACTTCTATGCTTTGGGTCATTGTCCTGTTGCAACACCCATCTTCTGTTGATCTTCAGCTGGTAGACAGATGGCCTTAAGTTTTCCTGCAAAATATCTTGATAAACTTGGGAATTAATTTTTCCTTCGATGATAGCAATCCGTTCAAATACTGACGCAGCAAAGCAGCCCCAAACCATGATGCCCCCACCACCATACCATGTGTTTTTTATAGGGCAGGGCAGCTGTAACCAACACCTCCAATCTCATCTCATTGATTGTACTCCAGTTGGCTGACATCTCACTCCAATTAGCTCTTGGAGATGTCATTAGTCTAGGGGTTCACATACTTTTTCCACCTGCACTGTGAATGTTTACATGGTGTGTTCAATAAAAACATGGCAACATTTCATTCTGTGTGTGTTATTAGTTTAAGCAGACTGTGATTGTCTATTGTTGTGACTTAGATGATGATCAGATCACATTTTATGACCAATTTGTGCAGAAATCCATATCATTCCAATGGGTTCACATACTTTTTCTTGCAACTGTAAGTATGTGTGTGTGTGTTTATGTCTGTCAGTAGGTCTCTGTGTGTGTCTGTCACTATGTGTGTGTGTGTCAGTATGTCTGTGTGTGTCTGTCAGTCAGTAGGTGTGTGTGTGTCTGTCAGTAGGTAGGTGTGTGTGTGTGTGTCAGTCAGTAGGTCTGTGTGCGTGTGTCTGTCACTAGGTCTGTGTTTGTGTCTGTCAGTAGGTCTGTGTGTGTCTGTCAGTAGGTCTGTGTGTGTGTCAGTATGTCTGTGTGTGTCTGTCAGTAGGTCCGTGTGTGTGTCTGTCACTAGGTCTGTGTGTGTGTGTGTCAGTATGTCTGTGTGTGTCTGTCAGTAGGTGCGTGTGGGTGCGTGTAAGTCAGCAGGTCTCTGTGTCTGTCACTAGGTCTGTGTTTGTTTGTGTCTGTCAGTAGGTCTGTGTGTGTCTGTCAGTAGGTCTGTGTGTGTGTGTCTGTCAGTAGGTAGGTGTGTGTGTGTGTGTCAGTCAGTAGGTCTGTGTGTGTGTGTGTGTCTGTTACTAGGTCTGTGTTTGTGTCTGTCAGTAGGTCTGTGTGTGTCTGTCAGTAGGTCTGTGTGTGCCTGCCAGTAGATCTGTGTGTGTGTGTCTGTCAGTAGGTCCGTGTGTGTGTATGTCTGTGTGTGTCAAAATCAAACACTACGTACAAACACACGTCTATGTTACACACCAAAATTATATGTAAACATACCTCTGCATTCAAAAACCAACTACTACACATAAATACATGCTTGCAAGTACGCCAACACCACATACAAACATATTCCATACAAAAACCTGTTTACATTCAAACACACAAAAACAGCTTAGTGCTAAATACAAACCTTCAAACATGGGTAAATTGTAGAGCCCCAGCTGTCAAATGCATTGCTGGAGTTGCACAACAGCTGGGGATCTACCTTTTAATTACCTGTGCGATAGGGAGGCTCAAAAAAATTCTTGCACCTCTCTACTTTAGGTCTGCCACTGCGTTGGGGTGGAGGACGTGATTGCACACCTCGGGAGGATACCAGGGGGCCCAAGCAAATACTTTGCCCAGGGTCCAATCAATATTAAAGACGGCCCAAGGCGTGAGTTGCAAACAAATGGTCATATTATGAAAACTATCAGGACTATGGCTTATCTATGGAAATTTTTTAGTGGCAGCAGGGATAGCTGAACGTTTTGATATAAGATTTGTGTAGGTGGCCTTGAAAATGAGGGAGTGGTGGCAGTTTGGAAATCATGTCTTGATTTTTCAGCTTTTGCCAGCTCCCACTTTAGTTTTGAACACTTTGCCATTCATTTCTATGGGACCAATTTCGCCACAAGAACGACGAACCAATCGGCGAAACGTTCCACAAAGTAAAAGCAATACAATCGGGAAGAATCTGCACATTTCGGTATATTAGTGTCTATGTAGTGTAAAAACTGTGGGAGGAGTTAGGGTGGTAAATTTGGCTATAATAAGAATTATATATATGTGAGATAACATTAAGTGGTCTTGCTATGCAAGAACACTTAATAAAAATAATATACATGTGAAATAACAGTAAGTGGTCTTGCTATGCAAGAACTCTTAATTAAATGTATTTGTCTTGATTTATAGAGTACATCATATGTCTGGAATTTCATTTTATTTTTTTGGTAGTTTTAGATCAAATACGGGTTGTAGTTCTAAAACCTGATGTGTGCTACTCCTGTACAAAACTTCATATTGTCTTCAGCTACATCTTCTGGGTACAAAAATACCCACAATGTAAGCCTTTGCCACTGTTGTGTGAAGTTGCAGTGCTATATAATAAGACCTGACTATTGCAGTTTTTACCGTTAGAACTTTGAATGATGGATTTGATGGGGCCTATTCTGAATTGTAGAGCACTGTAGCAATTTGACAGTTCAAGTTACCCATAAATACATATCAGTTGTGCAAGTAGACATCATGGGGTTTGCAGTATGTTATATTATGGGCCTTGTTGTACAGATATTTTCGCACAAATTTCTTTTTTTTTTTTTACTTTGGACAATATCAGACAAGTATCTTGTCATGTAAGGTTTTGATTATTGCTTATATAGTAAACGCATTGGTAATCTTGTCATCATTAATATCTTCTCTCCTCTATTCCCTTAAATCTCTTACCCACTATTTGGTTTCCTAAATAATTATTTAGATTCTACTTCTTTTCCTTATTAGAGTTCATAGATAGGGAAAGACAAAAGAAAATAAAAAGGGAAAACTAAAATTTTTTTAACATTGTCTATTTATCTCCCAATCCCTTCCCACCCGGAGCCCTCCCCCAACCCTTCTTCTTAAATCCTATTGCAGACCTTAATTGTTTTAATCTTTCTTTCTTTCTTTACTTATTTGGAGAGAGAAAGGTCTTACTATATTATCGTTGAATTTTATGATTCTGCGTGTTGGTGAGGTGAGGTTGGGTTGTCCCCCCTGGGAGAGTGAGTCCTGTGGTAGGCCCAGAGTTCGTAGCGAAGTTGCAGCATCCTGGATGTCCTGGATTTGGTGGGAGTTTGCCCCTTGTTGTATTTGGAGCGTTCGGGGGAGTCGCCAGCGGTACTCGATCTTATGGCGTTGGAGCAGGGAGATGAGTGGTCGGAGCGACCTTCGCCATGCTAGGGTTCCACTGGAAAAGTCAGCATCGAAAGTCAGCTTCATGGTCTCAAATTGGAGAGGTGTTTTCCCTCGTAGGGTGGTGAGGACTGCAGCTTTGTCTCTTCCATTGCAGAATGCTAGTATAACGTCCTTTGAGGCCATGGCTGGTGCTCCTGCAGGCTTGGGGATGCGAAAGAGGTCGGCAGGGTCAATTCCTTTGGCTTGCCTGGGCGGTAAGATGGTCGATAGCAGGCGCCTCATGACATGTGGCAGCTCCTGCTCCGGCACTGCCTCTGAGTCCCCTCTGACTTTCAGATTGTGTCTCCGCCTGGAATCCTCTTGGGCTGCGAGGCGACGTTAATGCTGCTGGGTCTGTGATTGCAAGTCATGCATTGCCTGCTGTAATATGGTTATGTTCTGGGCATTTGCTTGTGTGGATCCCTCCAGTGTGCCGATGCGGCCTGTCAGGCCCTGTAGGTCGCTTTGTAGTGCCGTGACATCTGCAAGGATGTTTCTCTGCAGGTCTGCCAATAGTGCTTTTAGGATCGCCGTGGTGACTGGCTCAGAGTCTGCTCCCTTCTTGCTCTGTTTTGCCATCTGTGTTAGGGCAAGGGCAGGTTGATATTCGTTGTCTGCATCCTCAGATAGTTCCTTGGAAAAATCCGAGCAGCCACCATGGAGAGCCGCCATGTTGGGCCCACTGGCGCCACGGGCTTGCCTCCACATGTCTCCGATAGTCTGCCCTGTAGTGTTCTCGGGGGTCTCTCCTGTCGTTTGGGGGGGTAGAGGGGTTCAGCCAAATTTACTAATACTAAGTAAAAATTACTTAGTATTAGTAAATTGTGCCCCTACTCGCTATACCGCGAGTAGGGGCATGTCTATTAAACCGTTAAAAAAAAACTGTTAAAAAAATAAATTTAAAAAATGGGTACCCCCATCCCGAGCCCCCATCCGCGACGCGCGAGTGGGGCTTTTAAACTAAAGGGGGGCTATTGCCCCCCCGGCCCCCACCCCTGAACGGCAGGTGGGGGCCCTAAAGTAAAATAATGGGGGGGACCTATTGCCCCCCCCTCAGCCCCCACCCCGAGCGGCGGGTGGGGGCCATAAAGTAAAATAATGGGGGGGACCTATTGTCCTCTCCCCGGCCCCCACCCCTGAGCAGCGGATGGGGTCCCTAAAGTAAAATAATGGGGGGGACCTATTGTCCTCCCCCCTGGCCCCCACCCCTGAGCGGCGTGTGGGGGCCCTAAAGTAAAATAATGGGGGGGGACCTATTGTCCTCCCCCCAGCCCCCACCCCTGAGCGGTGGGAGGGGGCCCTAAATTAGAATGGGGGGGACCTAATGTCCTCCCCATGACCCCCTCCCCTGTGCGGTGGGTGGGGGCCCTAAAAACTAATTAGGGGGGACCTAATGTCCTCCCCCCTGGCCCCCATCCCTGAGAGGTGGGTGGGGGCTCTAAAAACTAATTGGGGGGACCTGAGCGGAGGGGTGGGCCCTAAATTAGAATGAGGGGGGTACCTGATGTCCTTCCCCCCTGGCCCCCACCTCTGAACGGTGGGTGGGGGCCCTAAATAAAAAAATAACCCCCCCCTCCCCCGGGTGACTAGGGGTTCCCAAACCCCTAGTCCCCCCCCTCCCCCCAAAAATTAACCCCTACCTAATTAGGGGGGGGACCTAATGTCCTCCCCCCTCGCCCCTACCTCTGAGCGGTGGGTGGGGGCCATAAATAAAAAAAAACCCTCCCCCGGGTGACTAGGGGTCCCCAAACCCCTAGTCACCCCCCTCCCCCAAAAAATTAACCCCTACCTACCCCCCTCACCCTAATAATAATGAGGGGGGACATTTAACTAAGTACCTGGGGGAAAAAAAAAACTTACCATTTGATGTTTTCTTTCTTCTAAAATCTTCTTTTTTCAGCCCCAAAAAAGGCCAAATAAAAAGCCATAATAACCGACGCACTTAAAAAAATAAATATATAATAACCCGGCGAGGGCTCCGCGCAGACTGAGCTCTGCAGGGCGGGGGAAGGCTTATAAAGCCTTCCCCCGCCCTGCAATTAGGCTCAGAGCACTCTGATTGGTGGGTTTAAGCCATCCAATCAGAGTACTCTGACAGGTAAATGAAGAGACTGACAGGTAAGTCTCTACATTTACCTGTCACAGCACTCTGATTGGTTAGTTTGAAATCCACCAATCAGAGTGTTATAAGTCAAATTACACAGCGTGGGAAAATTCCAAAGAACTTTCCCACGCTGTGTAAAATGACACTGAGCACTCTGATTGGTGGATTTCAAACCAACCAATCAGAGTGCTCGTTTTTTGTTTTTGTTTTTTTTTTTAAGTGTGTCGGTTATTATTTTTTTTTCAGGTACTTAGTTAAATGGTCCCCCCTCATAATATTTAGGGTTAGGGGGGTAGGTAGGGGTTAATTTTTGGGGGGAGGGGGGTGACTAGGGGTTTGGGGACCCCTAGTAACCCGGAGTGTGGGGTCATTTTTTTATTTAGGGCCCCCACCCACCGCTCAGGGGTGGGGGCCAGGAGGGGGGACATTAGGTCCCCCTAATTAGTATTTTAGGGCCCCCAGCCACCGCTCAGGGGTGGGGGCCAGGAGGGAGGACATTAGGTCGGCACTTCGGCTATTCGGACATTCGGAAGTACCCGAATGTCCGAATTGCCTGAAATTCGGCCGAATTCATATTCGGCCCGAAACGAATTGCACATGTCTACTTTGTATGCAGTTCGGGAGTTTGGAGCATTCCCTTGTATTCAGTTCGGGAGATTGGTGCTTACAGTAGCTGCCTGTGTATCTGGAAGGGCAATATCGCCTAAACGGTTTTTAACCTCTTGTGTGCAAAATGGTCCGTTACAATGATCAATTTGGATCCTCTGGAAAGGATCATGTGGCTTCGCCAGATGTTTTGGAGGAGCTTTAATCATTCTTCCTGGATTACATATGGCACAAATGGTGCAAGAACTGCAGTAATTCTTGGTCAGTGAAGTTATTCCAGGTGCTTCAAAATATTTGTCAATCAGAGAGTTCATGAGGGGTTTAGACAAATGTGCTAGTCCATGGGCCCATTGGACCACTGCTGGGTACATGTTCTTGGGTAGGCAGAATTTGAGATTGATGGTATACACCCCATCCTGAAGGGTTGCCCCTTTTTCTTTCCAACTTTGCCTTTCTTGTGGGGTAGCAGCTGCTTGTTGTTCTTTCAGAAACTTGAGATCCGTGGGTAGAGTTTGCATAGTGTATATAGGAGTTCCTTCAGCGGACACTCTTCTGTCCACTTCCCTTGATTTTTGTGCAGCATCATTGGCGGCCTGGTGAGCTAAATAGTTGCCATGTGCTTCTTCTGAATTCAATCTTCCGTGGGCCTTTACCTTCAGTATAGCCACTTCTTCAGGAAGCAGTAAGGCATCCATCAGTAGTTTGATTGCCACACCATGTTTGACTGGCGTGCCAGTTGCTGTGAGGAAACCTCTTGTTTTCCAGATTAATCCAAAATCATGTGCCACACCCAGGGCATATCTTGAGTCAGTGTAACTATTAGCACGCTTTCCTTCGTACATTTTGCATGCTACTGTGAGGGCTGTTAATTCAACTTCTTGAGCAGACATGGATGAGGGAAGTGAAGATGCTTGAAGTACCCGATCTTCTGTAGTAACAGCAAATCCAGTATGGTACCTTCCCTTCTCGTCTGCAAACCTAGAACAATCCACGAACAGGGTGAAGTCAGGATCTGGCAGAGCAACTTTATGCACTGTTGGGAGATGTGTTGTCTCCATTTTCATCTGTTCAAAGCAATCATGAGGAGCATCCGGATCCTGCTCTGTAGGAGGGGTGTCTTCACTTATCTCTGTGTGATATTGAGGGTAGCTAACTGTTTTGCAATTCACAGTTCTCTTGGTGACTCCTTCCATTGCAAGTTGATCTTGACTTGCAGTGCTCCATGTTTTTGCTTATGGGCCAAGTTCCTTCCATGAGATTTCTGAGGACTTAGTGAAGGAGATGCGAGGAACAGCCACCTCCCAGTGGTGATACATGTGTCTTACTTCCATGGGTAACTCGACCAGGATTACACTATTTATAGTCACTGAAAAGGTCTGTCAGGATGAGGCATACTTCCACCAGTCTGAATAGTTCTTCTTTGTAATGTGGATCTGGTCCTGGGGTATTTCTGAACCATAGGGTGCAATGTAGGTAGAGTAGAGGCTGCTCATCATGTGGAACTCAGGGTTTTTGTATCTGTAGTTCAAAGAGAATGTCAGAGTCTATGTCAAGGCTGTACCAGTATTATTATATTGGTACAAGGGGCAGAAGAGTGGCCGGATTCAGTGAGTAGCATCTTTGTAGAGTTACGTTGTCAGGCAGAAGTAAAGCTGTCTGTAGGCGGAGATGTCTTTCAGAGGTAAGGTGCTTTGGCTGGACTTGATTGAGAATTGCAGTAATATCATGAGGTGCAAGGAGTGAAAGCTTGTGTCCAAGAACAATGTCATTAGTCTTGTCCAGCAGAGCGCTTGCAGCAAAAACAGCTCGTAGACAGGATGGTTCTCCTCTGGCCACTGGATCTAACTTGCAGGAAAAGTAGCCTATGGGACATTGATGTGACCCATGAAACTGATCTATCACAGTGAAGAATTTTGCTGTAGGAGGTACCTGTGACAGAAGTATGTGTGGATTGGGCACGATGGCTGTATCCCTGACTGTGACATCATTGACAGCACAGAGGTCTTGGACCATATGGTATTGGTCTGGTTCCCGTTTTTCAGTTTTCTTCTTTACTGGAAACAGAGGAGTGTTACATTTTGATACACATTTAACAAGAGCACCTTTTGCTAACAGGTTCTCAACCTGTTTGGAGATGGCAAGGGCCTGAGCAGGCTTCAAGGGGTATTGCGGCCTACGTGGTGGGTTTGCTCCTTCATACAGTTTCACAATGACAGGAGGAACTTGAAGACATCCAATATCATCTGGGCCTGTGGACCAAAGCTTGGCTGGGACCCTATCCAGGGCAAACGGGGAGACTCCATGTGTAATAGAGAACAGAGAGCTGAGGTATCCTTATGAGAGAGAGGAGTTAACAACTGAACCTGACCTTCATCAGTAAAGGAGATAGAAGCCTGCAGGCGGGAGAGAACATCAGCATCTAACAGGTTAATAGGACAGGTAGAAGACACAACAAACCGTGTGAGAATGTCTGAGCCCACCCGTAAGAGCTTGGTTAGTGGGTTGTTTCGAGGAGTACCATCTACAGTACACCAACACATGAAACATGTGAAAGAAGAGTCTCATGTTTCATGTACAGTACACCAACACATGAAACAGACAAGAAAGAAGAGTCTGTTTCATGTGTTGGTGTACTGTACATGGGTTGCTTTTCTAGGTCTGAGAGAGAAATTACTAGGGTTGCAGCTTGGGATGGATTAAAGGTAACATACATCATAGGGGCTCCCTCCACAGCAGGTAGGGCACTGTGATGGTTGGCAGTGGGCCGTGGTAGGGCACTGTCATTATCAGGGGACTGTCTGTGAAAGCTAACTATATCAGATATAGCCGGGGCTTGTGCTGCTGCAACGCCAGTATCGTTAGCTATCTGAAATGAAACTAGTTGTGATGTAGTGGGGTGATGGCCTGAAGCTGCAGGGGAAACAGCGTGATGATGGCCTATTGCAATGGAATCATTTGAACCAACAGTCATAATAGGATAACTGGGGCCGCCATGATAGAGGCGGGTACGGAAATGGATGTGGGGATGGGAGAGGACACGGCAGGAAGGATGCTGAGGGGGAAGTGACAACCATGACAGGGGCCGGAGATGACACAACGGGGGCAGGGGAAGGAGGTGGGATCGGGGTGGAAATGGAAGGAATGACGAGGGGAGAAGGTGGGACGGGGCAGGGAACGGAAGGAATGACAGAGGCAGGTGGGACAGGGGTGGAAATGGAAGTAATGACGAAAGGGGAAGGTGAGATGGGGGAGGGAACGTAAGGAATGACAGAGGGAGTAGGGACGGGGCGGGAACAGAAGGAATGATGGGGGGAGGTGGGACAGGGACGGGAACTGAAAGAATGACAAAGGGGTTGGTGGGACAGAGGAGGGAACGGAAGGAATGTCAGGGGCAGGGTAATAATAAGATCCGTCCGCTCCAAGGACGGGATACAGGGAGTTGGGGGCTGGAGGGGCAGTGTCAGTTGGAGCTTGTAGCTGGACAGGGGCTACGGGGGTTGGGTTAGCCCCTTTCTCCTTGCACCAGACGCCATCATAGGGCGGTGGCTGAGACACACTTGGGGTAGAATCAACAGTACAAACATTTTCATAGTATACATAAATCTTTTGTCCTTCAATTTCCAGTTCTTCCTCTGACCATCCATCACGTTTAATTCCTTTTGCAACACGATACCAAGCTTCTGCTGCTTTAGTCAATCCATTATCAAGCAACAATCCCTCTTTATCTATCAACAATTTTCTTCAGCTCTCTGGTTGTAACTGGCCGCTGGGAGACATGGTAATACCACGGATCTTAGCGATCTCTTCCTCAACTTAGTCACAGGTTCCTCACCTGCCCTCTCTTTCACAATATCACAAGCCAACTGGCCTCTAATCGGTCTAGCATGCTCCTGTCCCATTCTGAATACACAAGTCGTCACTTGAGAGAGAGATAAAGAGATGTAAACAGGAAAAAGAACATCTACAGTGCTCGACTGCCACGTGATACGTGCGTCTTCCCAAATCACTGGATCCGCCCACCCGAGATGGTGGTCACGGATCGGAGCGAGGTGAGTAGTGTATGACTAACACAGCTCTGGATTAAAGTTACAGTAAAGGAAAAGGGAGAGAAAGTGAAAGTGAAAATGCCAATAAGGAGACACTTGCAAGAATCACAAATAAAGATGTGTGCACATAGACATGAATCAAGGATAAACCACACAACCCACACAGATGCAATCATGTCACACACAATGCAATCCCAATTAAGCAACCACCATAATACAATAAAGAATAATAATGTATCAAGCATAACAATAATTAAACCAGCGGTCTCTGTTCCCGCTGAACAGCAAAGCAATTAAATCAATCTGTTCCCTCCGAACAGCAAACAACTAAACTAACCTGTTCCCTCTGAACAGCAAACAACTAAATTAACCTGTTCCCTCTGAACAACAAACAACTAAACTAACCTGTTCCCTCTGAACAGCAAACAACTAAATTAACCTGTTCCCTCTGAATAGCAAACAACTAAACTAACCTGTTCCCTCTGAACAGCAAACAACTAAATTAACCTGTTCCCTCCAAACAGCAAACAACTAAATACAATAAAGGTCTCTATCAGTTAGGTAGTCAAGCTAATAATACGTAACGATACAATGCAATTAACCTATCTTAAATTCTCAAACAATCACTTTCCCACCCAGGATTCACACTCAGGAGGCAGATAGACAATCAACAGTTCTTATAAAGAGACACCGGTCAACTATTTTCCCTATCTTTGATGCCTTCCGGCGGCCAGGGTGGACACAGAGGCAGGCAAATCACAAAGACAGGAGATATAGGAAAAGTGCTAATATGCAATCATTACCAAATATTAAGGAGGTGATCAGTCTCCGGTCCCGTCTCTGGAGGTCCGCTCTGGTCCTGGTTCCGGCCGTCCGTTCAGAGCAGTCGGTGCCCCACGTTGGGCGCCAAATTGTCATGGATCAAATCAAGTGTTTGATAATTTTGTATATCTGCCCCTGTCCAAATTTTAAAATTAAATGCGTGCACGCTTCCCAAAGTAATTTCACACCAGATACAAGTTTCAGGTTAATGAAAAACTTGAGGAAAGTTTAATCCAGGAGGCTGGTATGCTAAGTATGTTAAGTGGTTCATCTAATGTACATCCTACCGGGTGTGATGTCACTGTCATCATGGGATTCTCCTCCACCTCTTCCAGTGCCATCTTGTTAGTTGAGGTGGTTAGTCGATGGGAGGGGTAACTCCCTAACGGCCATTTTGATTAACTTATGAATAATACTGATTATAGTTATGCAGAGTAAATAGGCATTTTACTAAATTTAATATTCCGTCCACAACACTGTTTACTGAGACCATTTTCCCATCTTCTTCCTCCTCAATCCCCTCCTTTCCCCACCGGGTGAGGGAGGTAGGTAGGAATTTATTTAATTTTTTTTTGGCTGGGGTGTGACTAGGGGCTTGGGGACCCCAAGTCACCTGGGGGGTGGTTTACATTTAGCCCACACCCACCACCCTGGGGGGAGGACAATAGGTCCCCCCCATTTTAATTTAGGGCCCCCACCCGCCGCTCATGGGTTGTCGCCCCCTAACATATCACACAAGAGTACCCCCTTGTGGCACCGAGCTCACCACACACAGATGGCTCCGAACTTTCTGCCACTCGGGATGGAAACATTTTTTTTTCTTTCTTTTTTTCACATATTTTTATTCTTATTTTTTTTTTTTCTCACTACCTGGGCAATTAACCAAAAAAGGCCAAACCCAAACACAGGTGCTTAAGCCGGCATTACCCAGGGGGTGAACTCCGGTGGCCTCATATCACTTATATCTATTCAGGGACATGCAGATCGGTGGGAGAGGTCTGGCTGTGTATATTTGCACTGGGCGGGTCTCCATGGGTGGGACCGAGCTCGGAGGGGGTTCTGTGGCTGAGGCAGGAGACTGTGGGATGCCTGTCGTACCACACCAGGACTTTCCGTGCCATCCATAGCGCCTGATTGACGGCCGGGAGGCCCTGGGTGTTCACTGTTTTATGCTCACGATACAAGCTGTAAGACGATGCATACCAAACTATGCCACACAGAAGGCTAGACACAATGCAGTACGCAGTCTGGCCAATTGTACCATGGGATGTGGTCCCCCCGGTGACATGCAGGCTTGCCTAGGGGAGGGAATGGCGCCTGGTTTACCTTAGTTGGTCCTCATTGAGCAGGTGCCATGCTTGTCCGGGGGGGTCCCGGTCCGTCATGCGTACGCCTACAGCCGGCGCTAACACGCCAGATGCACACTACGCCATGACATGGTACCACCCCACTAGAACCCCACAACGTGAAGCCATTACACGCCCAGAACCGAATATGAGCTAGCAACCTAACTTACCTCGGCAGGGCCCTGGGAGCTGCCTTTTTAGGGGTTCTGGAGCAGAGCAGGATTCCAGTTTGTGGCAAGCCAGGGGTTGTGTAGTGTCAGGCAGACAGGGCAAAGTGCCCCATGCAGCCTCCTGGTGTTTGGCAATACTGGTCGCTCCCCCAAACCAGGTGCCATGCTCTCCAGGTCTGCTCTTGGCAGCAGGGTTTGCGGGCGGGTCTGGCACGCACAGGTCAAGTACCTCAAATAATACCGGAGGCACCTGTGCTCATCATGTAGACTAACAGAACCATGAAAGTTGCCATTAGCCCATGAGGTGGACACTAATTCATGGATCTGAGGGACAGACTTCCCGGGAGGGAGGGTTTGACACTGATGCAACAGCACATCCAAAGTGAAGTTCATGACCCATGCCCCAAGAACCCCGACCCAGGAAAGATTGACGACCCACAGAAATTGAGCCTGACCCTGGGTGACCACGCCTGACCGCACTCCCCAAACCACACATGGACATCGTCATGCACACCATGGGGCCCTGACCCTGAGGGACTCCAGATATCCACAGGGCTTCTTCGCTAATCACAGAGATGCCAAGAAGGCTAGGTTGGCCATACTTTTCACACAGACAATACCATACACCCCCACAGCTGAGTTGGCCGATCCCCTGGGTTGCTTCTTCTTTCTTAACCCCTTCAGAAATAAAAGGGGTATATTTCCGTCATGTGCCCTTAAGGGGTTAAAGGGACCATCGCGGACCGCATGCACACATTCGCCTGTATCTTTGCTTTGAACACGAATCAGCACAGATTCCTGAAGCGTACGCTGTCCTCACTAGAGAAGTTCTGAGAGGGCCTGCTCATTGTCGCGCGGGACCTGAACATTGCTATGGACTCAAGACTGGATACCTCCCAAGGCCACTGGTCCTTCCTGAGAAGCAGCCTTCACACTGCACTAACCACCATACGCACTTCAGGATTGGCTGACAGTTGGCGAGTCTCTCATCCGGACGTCAAAGATTTCTTCTTCTACTCTTCTGTACACAGAAGATATAGCAGATTGGACTACATCCTCATGGCCCAAGAATACCTTACTCTACTGCCATCCAGTGAAATCCTACCCACGACGTGGTCGGACCATTCTCCCATCATGACTAGCATACGCTCACCACGATTCAAACCCTCGAAAAGGCAATGGAAACTCAATGAAGCAACCAGGACAACATTATAACACTACTTCGTCGTCAGAGGCCACTTTATCCGCATTTGCACAAAGCACAAAAAAGAACAGTGACGAAGGACAGTGGAACTGGCTCGACGGGTGGCTTCTCTGGAGCGCTCACACAAAGATACCCTGTTTACGAAACGTACAAAGAACTGCTAGAAAATAGACAGAACCTTCGTCAAATTTTATCACAGGGATTACTACACACTATCCACAAATCATGAAGACATTTCTATGAACACTCAAACAAATGTGACTGCTTATTAGCCAGGATGCTCCGAAAACAAAGACGCATGTGCCACATCACAAAAATCAGAACTAAAGTGGAGCATACCACACAGCTCCCAGATGGGATAAGGAAAGAATTCCATCGATTCTACACAGACCTCTACAACCTCCGCTCTATGACAGATCCTGGAAATGGCCAGCAACGTTCGACTGCACTGTGCTGCCCTAGGTATTATGGAACTCGGGCACACCCTAATTTACATTAGCCCCACCCCTTTCTGTCAATGCCACACCTCTTCCTGTTAAACAACTAACACACACTTTGACTGACAGACACTCTCAGATACACTGACATACACACACTGATTTTGACACAATCACTGACTCACTGACATACACACAGTCACTGACATACTCACACAATGACGCAGACACACACACACACTGACAGACAGGCGCCCTCACAGACACAATCACTCAGAAACAAACACATATTCACTGACAGACACACACACTCTAACTCACTGACAGACAGCCACACAGTGACAGCCACACTGACAGACATACACACACAATCACTCAGATACACACTGACAAACACACAATCACTCACATACACACTGACAGACATACACACACTGACAGCCAGACACACCCAATCACTCAGACAGCTTCTGACAGGAAGGGAGGCAGGCGGTTGTGCGGCTAACTAAAAATCCGGGTGGGCGGCACTGGCGAGGGAGCACTGATTAGTGAGCTGTCTTTGCTCAGCTCCCTCACGCGCCGCAGAGTGATGCACACCCGTCTGGATTTTTAGTTAGCCGTTAGTTAGGCGTTTTTTGCCGTCCCCTGGAAAGTGCCGCCCGAGGCAAATGCCTTGTTTGCCTCGCGGCAAATATGTCCCTGACTGCAATAGCAGATTACCTGCAGGGCCATGTCCAATGCCCCACCCATATGATCTGCCATATGAGCCAGCGCCCGTGCTGCACACAGTGTCTTTTCTCTGTAAAGGCAGTGTGTTTACATTAAAAAACCTGCAGGGACAGGCTATATACACCAGAACCACTACATTAAGCTGTAGTGGTTCTGGTGACTATAGTGTCACTTTAATGTGAGATAAATTAGAGATTAGTGCCACTAATAATATACTGGATTGCCTACTTACCACCAGATGAGTACAAGAGGATGATGATGTGCTCAGGCTGCAGTTTGGCTCCACTGTGTCATATCCTGTTCCTGTTTGCGAATCATTTCTGGCCATGGCTTCTGGTATCCAGTACTCTTTTTACAATTCTTGTTTAGTTTTTCTTGTTTTTTCTGGTTATCTATTCTATGTCTGGTTTTCTTTATGCTGGGTCTTCTGGGTTCATTCCTGTTTTCCGTTCCTGGAATTCCCAGTCTCCTGGATTCCTTTAAATGTGTGTTTTTTTGCCACTCCTGTTCCTTTGCCATTTATCCTTTTTGTTTCAGTGTGTTCCTCCTTGCAGTGGTCGTATTCCTCTGCTCCTTTCCTTGCAGGTAAGTACTGTGGGTGTTTTATTATTGTACTTTGAGTCATGCATAACTAGGCATTTAGGACCCACTGTAATTGGAGTACTTTGGCGCAGTGGTGGGCTGCATACTGTCACAGTAGTATACCCCAGCACGCAAGAATAGTCCAACGAGAGACAAGAAAACAATATACGTCTTACCGGACCGTCCAGTTGCAGGACCATGTGCGGCGGGGAAGGAGGACCTTGCCCGGCCCCTGGAGAGGGTAAGTACCGCTACAGTTCCCCCTGAAGACACGCCAACTGGGCGGGCCGGGCCTGGCAGGAAAACGAGAATGGAAGGAACGCAGAAGGCGAGGAGCGTGAAGAGCGTCAGCCCATATCCCTTCCAATGCACCAGGTACTGGAGGCGACCCCGGAGAAAACAAGAGTCAAGCACGGCAGCCACCTCAAATTCATCATGACCCATTTTTCAGGAGATCCAACGGAGCTATGCTCAATCCGACGGATATCCTCGGATAAACTGCACATCCATCATATCCCACAGCAGCATCTACATCCAGGTGTCTCCCAGTATCGGCACATGCCATTCTTTGCTGGTTCCGGACAGAACCGGCGACGGAAGAAGCCTGTGGCCTACCACCACGCTACACGCCTGGAGGATTTCCTGGGGCACATCTCCCTCCAGCACAGCTGGAGCACAGACATCCACTTACCTGCAGATCAGCCCTCAACCATGGGAAGACGCTCACAGAAACCTCTCTCAGGTACCTCAAGCGAATCCCAAGACATAGGGGCCCTATTACAATGCCAAACCCTGCCCAAAATGGTTGCCCCAGCCAACCAGCCGGCCCTAGCAGACCCTCAGACCCAAACACCTGACTACCCTCAAGCACAAACCCTGCCACAAACACCAGAACACACAGCTGCAGCCTTACCTGACATATCAGCTCTGGCCACCAAGCATGATATTAAAAATCTCTTCACCGAATTCCGCCAGAAGCTAGCAACTGACATAGCAGTCATCCAGGCTAACTTACAAGTGGTTACAGACAGGGTGAGAGCTACAGAAGAGGACATCATAGATATGAGGCGGGAAATGATAACTGTACAAGACTCCCTGCAAAACGTCCACAAAACCCAGCAAGCATTCTCCACGCAACTTGCTACGCTGGAGGACCGTTCCAGGCATAATAACCTGAAGATAAGAGGGGTACCTGAGTCCATCACCATAGACGAAATGCCCCACTACCTGCGACGACTAACAGCCTCCCTATTACCGCCAACACACGCCAAAAAACTCGCTTTTGATGGCATGTTCCGCCTACCAAAATCACCTAGGGCCCCAGCAAGTGCCGTGAGTGATATCATAGTTCGCTGCGCCCTGGCTCAAGACAAAAAAGCACTCCTCTCAGCTATACGAAACCAAACACCATACACATTTGAGGGTGCTGACCTGTCCTTCTACCAAGACCTGTCAAGGTCCACCCAGCAATGGCGCAAAACGCTCCACCCAACCACGAGCCAACTAAGAACCGAAAGAGTTACATACCGTTGGACCACTCCACGAGCCCTCACAGTGACCCACAACGGATCTAGCCATGTGATCACCGCGGGTCAGAACCTTTTACCTATTGCCTGAACCACAAAAATGGTGCATCTTTATCCACATGCTTTGTATACGCAAACTTCCTTCTCGCATTGCCTACTAATGTCATGTTATACCCTGCAAACGATATTTCACATGCAGTGAAAAAATAAAGAATTATAAAAAAAAAAATTCCTCATGACCCTCTACAGAAACAGGAGGAGGAGGAGGAACATATCGGGTATACCGGTCACACAGGAGCTGCTTCAACAAGGAGTTGTGAAAGACGTTAGGAATACGCAGGTTACTGGGAAGATCCAAGACACGAAAAGGACCAATAAAATGGGGAGACAGCTTCATAGAAGGCACACGAAGGTGGATGTTACGAGTAGAAAGCCAAACCTTTTCCCCCATAACATAGGATGGAGCAGCTCTGCGATGTTTGTCAGCCTGAACCTTTTGACAAGCAGCAGAATCCACCAAAGAACGCTGAACCTGCTCCCAGGTAGTACGTAAACCGGCCAAATGCTCATCCAGAACTGGTCCAGTTGCAGGACTATGTGCGGCGGGGAAGGAGGACCTCGCCCGGCCCCTGGAGAGGGTAAGTACCGCTACACATACATTTCGGCCATTTATGTATGTCTCAATCTCCAATGTTTATTACATATATAGTACTTAGTTATTTCTCCTCTTGTTTTGTCTTGTATCTCTTGTCTTGTTTTATTTTGTCTTGTATTCCCAGTTCATGTACAGTTCTTTTTTTTTTTTTTTTATTCTTTATTTATTGCAAGACAGGATGACAACTACAGCACATACATAACATCCGTTAACTTTATACAGACATGTATTAGTATATGTTCCTCAATCGACAGTTGTACATGTAAAGGCATCTAAAGCAATGTTGTGAGTGGTATAACATGTAAAAGTCCACAGATCGAGGTCTTACTGTTTGTTTACGGTCCATCTTGAGATTGTGACACATCCAACAACCTGCCCTGATTTTTGATATAGATAAAAGTAAAATGTGTACAGCCACGTCAACATTTTCAGATTAAGATAGGAAAGTTAGTCAATCTGTGATTGCCACCCCCTCAGGGGTGCCAAATAGCCTTGTGGGATCTAGGTTGTCTTGTACCTATCCTTAGTATCCCAATAGTAATTCTACGCTGCCGAGTCGTTCGAGATGAACAGGAAAATAAAAGGAAAGTTGAGCACAGAGAGAAGAAGAATAGTATGGTGGGGAAAGAGTTAGGGGGGAAGAAGGAGGGGGGGGGAAATAGTGTCTAGGGGGGCCAACCGCCATGCTGCATGTGGGACGTCGGCAAGTCAATTGGCGCTATTAGGTATATTTTGCTTTAATATTTTGTATCACCATGGGTAGTGTGGGTGTTTCCCTCTGTAGCCATACCTGGGCCAGAGCCCTCCTGGCAGCTAGATTTATTTTATGGAGAAGGTTTTGTTCTACTCGTGTCCAATCATCCAGAGATCTAGCTAATAAGAATACCCATGGGTCCAGTTTGACCTCTTTTTCGAAAATATCTCGCTCTAATACCTCAATCCGCTTCCAGTAAGCCTACACCTCCGGGCATTCCCACCACATGTGTATGTAAGTGCCCTTTTGTCCGCAACCTCTCCAGCACCATTGGAGTTTTATGCATTCGGTGTAGTTTCACTGGTGTAGTATACCATCGAAATAATGTTTTAAATTACTGTTCCTACAGAGGGACACACACAGAGGATGTCGCAGCGGCCTCCCATATTTCCTGCCATTCTACGCCCTCCAGCTCCTAGGTCTGCCTCCCACTGCTCCGTATACGTGATCTGTCCCCACTCTAAGGGCTGGGTGCTCAGGTGAGCATAAAGGTAGGAAATTAGCCCACTTGGAAACGTTTCCCTAAGGCACATCCTCTCAAAAAACGTTGGTTGTATTAGAGCCGCTTTCTTAACCTCTGCGGTTTGTGCATAATCCCATAGCTGGAGATATCGAAAATAGTCGAATGGTCTTAACGGCGCCCTAGTTTTCAAGTCCTCAAAAGTTACCAAAGAGCCATTCTCAAAGATATGACCTATTCTCTGTAATCCTGTGTTCTCTATGTCCCTAGGGATCCACATCAGGTATTGGGGCATATCCGCCCCCATGAGGGAGGATTCCAGATCTACCCATCTTCTCTCCTCCGGTGGAGAGTGCCAATTGCGAAGCAATGTAATAATAATAAAGATTCGGGAGACCCAGGCCTCCTCTATTTTTTGCCCTGTAGAGCACATTACCCTAAGGCACCCTAGGCCTCCTATTCTGCCATATGAACTTGCCTATAGCAAGGTGGAGCCTGTTGGAGTGTCCCTAGCTGAGATTTAGTTAACCAGACCGGGAGGACTTGGAAAAGTAAAAGTATTCTAGGAAGGATATTCATTTTAACGGAGTGTATCCGTCCGATCCACGAAATCGGTTTATCTAGCCATCTCTCCATATCGCTCATTAGGGTTCGGATAAACGGGTTGTAGTTATGTTGATAAAGTTGGGTGGGGTCTGCCGTCAACCGTATGCCCAAATATTTTATGTAATCCCTCGCTATACTTATATGATATGTTGTCCCTATATATGCTGCGTCGGCTTCCGTCAAACCTATGGGAAGTGCGCTGGATTTATTGAGGTTCACTTTGTAACCTGCAAGATTGCTATAATTCTGTAATATATTTGTCACTGCTGCCATAGAATCTATTGGGTCTGTTAATGTCAAAAGCACGTCGTCAGCAAATCCTGAAACCACGTTTCGCTGTCCTCCTACTGCAATTCCTTTAATCTGGAGAAGTGCGTATTTTCTCTAACTGTGGTTCTAGAGAGAGGGCAAATAGTAAACGCGAGAGGGGGCAGCCCTGTCTTGTGCCATTGCTCAATCAGAACGGGGTGACCTTCGCACCTGATATCCGAATTCGCGCCTTCACGTTAGTGTATAAGGCCTGGATAGCTGTAAAAAATTGTGCTGGCATGCCAAAGTGCTTCAAGACCTCAAATAAATATGACCATTTGACCCTGTCAAATGCCTTCTCGGCGTCAAGAGACAGTATCAAGGTCTGAATGCCCCTAGTGGACTGCCTCCAAATCAGGTTGATATTACGTCTTGTGTTTTCATATAGTTGTCTTCCCGGCACAAATCCCACCTGATGCGGATGGACCAGCCGGGGAAGATTCAGGTTCAGTCTGCTCGCTAGGATTTTAGTTAAGATTTTAGAGTCATGGTTTATCAGGGAAATCGGGCGGAAGTTTTCAGGGATTGCTTCATCCCTCCCTGGCTTTGGTAGGAGGAGTATATCCGCCAAAGACATGTCTCCATCCGGCGTCCCCCCTTCCATTAAATCGTTGCACCAGGATTCCAATTGAGGCACAAGTTCCTCACGTAGGATCTTGTAATAGCTTCCGTCAAAGCCATCTGGGCCTGGTGCTTTGTTGCTTTTTAATGCAGATATAGCCACGTCCACTTCTTCAGCAGTGATCCGTTTTTGCAGGTTTTCCAAATCTGCTCCGAGAAGTTTAGGGAGGTCCATTTGAGACAAAAAACCCCGGATCCTCTCTAGTTCGCTGTGGGTACCCAAAGAGTCCGTAAAGACTTTGCAATATCCGTGGGATTTGTATGATAATAGTTGGGTTTTGCACTTTTTCTTCAATGTTGCTTCGCGTTTCAAGGTGCCTCTTATGACCGCTTTGTGGGCTGCCCATATTGTTGCGACAGGAAAACCAGATTCTGCTTCTCGCGTAAAGTACTCTGTCAGTTCGGTTCAGATCTTTGCGACTATCTCCGGGTTCCGGAGTAAAGAGGTATTCAGTCGCCAAAACCAAGGAGATGCCACACACAGTTTATCTAGCGTTAATGTAATTTCCGCATGAACAGACCATGTTATAGAGCCTATATTAGAGTCAGCAACCTTAGCTACAGTCAGGGGGTTCACCAGGAATAGATCTTTCCTCGAATAGGTGTCGTGGGGATGCGAGTAAAATGTATAATCAGTAACGTCAGGGTGGTGTGTTCTCCAGATATCAATGAGGCTGTATGTTGTATAAAAGTGTGCAATAACTTATCTTGTCCGCCCCGTCTATGGGAACGTGGAAGTCCATGGCAAGGTCCCTTATCAGTGGCCGGACACGGTGCCGCATTAAAGTACCCCCCCCTATAACCATGCCGTGAGGTAATGTGTTAACTGAATGAGTTAATTCCACCCAGAAATCCTTGGCTGGATCATTGGGGGCATATAAGTTAAGAATATGAATAGCATGAGAAAATAGCGTTCCCGATAGCAGAATAAAGCGCCCCCCGGGTCCAAATGCACCTTGCCTATGGTGATCAGGCATCTGCTGTTAATGAGTATGGCTATCTTGTGGTCTTTAAGGGTGAATTTTGCAGACGCCGGCAAGTGTATCTCCTGCAGGAATGCGATATCGGGGTTCATGCGTTTATGTTCTTTGAATAGGAGGCGACACTTTTTAGGAGCGTTAAGGCCCTTAACATTTAAAGATAGTAGTTTTACAGGCATATCGTATCATATGTGTTGACGCTACACTCACCCTTTCTATCGCTGCAAGACCCACACCCGATGTTTAGTTTTCGTATGTTGTGAATCAGTGGTACCGCCATGCCTACTCGGCATTCCCGTAACAGTCCGAGCTGTTCCGCTCCTCCCCCCAAGGGGTAAGGTGTAGGGGATGGGTAAGACAACAAGATGGGTAAACAGAATGAGAAAGAGAAAAGAAGAGAAGAAATAGAAAAACGTATAATACACAGATTGCCTGGTCTTACCTTTAGCCAGGTCCCATTGGGGTTTACGTCCCAGCTCCTCCGGACCGAAAAAAAAAATCAAGCTCCGAAACAGCGGGGACGCAGACCAACATTTAAAGGCACCACTTGGCTGCCAACCATATAACAAAGTGCAACACGGTTAAGAAATAGTTGTATACAACAGTGTTTGAAACCGCTAGATCCCCCAGAGCGCTGCTCCAACAATTATGCTGTGAGGTTCCGCCTCCTGCAATCAGTAGGTCACCTCCAATCTACCCCATAAAGAGAGTCCCCATGGCCTGTCCATGATTCTCCCCGGGACCGCCAGAGTCTATGTGAAGGCCTCCTCCCCCTCAGCTGTCCGGGCACCCTCCCCCGTGTCGGGGGGGTGTATCCAGACGTTATTTCGACTACACCAAGCACGGGACTACGCAAACACGAGTAGAGATAGCCCACACGCCATGCCCACATCTAAGCTCGACTCTCTCCCCCCTCCCGGCCACTGGGGGAATATCATAAAAGAAACGTACCGGCTACAATACCCCGGGCCCCTCAAAAGGGCTTGCACCTGTCTGTCCGGTGGGCCAGTCGGTACTCAATCATATCATTAGAAAGGGGGATAGGAGCAGTGTGTTACCTTGGAGTTAGGGCTGCTGAAAGCAGAATAACCCGAGAATATCACAAGCAGTCTGACACACATTATAAAATACAGTGGCTATCTCCATGGGGAGACCAAGCGGCGCCACATTGATAACCTGTAGCCTCTCTCCCCACCTCCGCCCGCTTCCAGTGCTTAGTTCACCATATTGTATCTAGCACGACGCCCCTCTGCCCACCAGAGAAGAACCGTGAGGCATCCAGAGAGATACGCCAAGAGCCCCTTAGAGTCCGTCCCGCATTTGAGGGTGGGGGACAATCTTCGTTCCTTTTGCTATCGTCCACAGCAGCAGACCCCAACCACGCAAAGAGCACAACCAAATAAGGAAGCAGTGGTACCCTAACAGCATCCCTAACCCACCCAAATCAGGGTATAGCTTCCACAACAAACGGAAGGCCCAGGACCCCGAAGCCCTCCCCTGTAGCTCGGATGTTGGGGGCTCCCGAGCCGTACCATGAGGGATCACCCGTCGAGGGGCCACACCCGGAACAAAATCCCCCTCAACAAACGCCTGCAATCCCTCCCTAGCAGCAGCTAGATTACCCCCACACCTTCCTCCGTTAATCCCGAGGAGGCCGCCCGCCTGGTGCCTCAGTCATCCACCGAAAGCCACTCACGTGGAAGGGTTGGTAACTCCTCCGTCGACCGGGCAGGCACTTCCAGCTCCACCACCTCCTGGACTCCTGCAGGAACACCGCTGGATATCCGTCTAGATGCAGGACCTTAGTGCGACCCTCCCTGAAGGCCAGCAGCCGAAATGGATGGCCCCAGGCGTACCTGATCTGATGCTTTTGCAGCAATGTCGTGATCGGTCGCCATGCTTTCCGTTGTTGTAAGGTAGCTGGGGTAAGATCCCGAAACAGGGTCAATTCCGCGCCCCTATATTGGATAGGGCCATCTCTACTGCGTTTCATGAGAGCCTCCTTCGTTGGAAAGTGCAGGAATTCAATAATAACGTCTGTGGGGGGTTGATTATCCCCTCGTTTTGCCCGAAGTGCTCTGTGAGCTCTCTCAATATGCCACTGATGCTCCGGCACTTCGGGCAGCAGCGGCTGAAAGATAGTGGTGACTACATCTATCAGAGATCCATTCTGGGAGGCCCCGGAGACAGACATTATTCCGGCGCGATCTGTTCCCCAAGTCGTCTAGGGCTGATTCCGCTGACGCTAGCCTCGCCATCAGGCGGTTGATCTGGGTCACTGCCGCATTATGCGCCACCGCTGTGGACTCCAGCCTCTGTTCAAGCGCTGCCGTCCTCACGCCTACACCCTGGATTTCCAATTTAACATCGTTGGTATTCCTGGCGATCTCGGTGGCAAGGTAGAATCTAACCTCTGCCAGCTTTTCCAAGATTTGAGCGGCAGTAGCATCCGATGTCACTTGGGCCGCTGTGCTTCCTGGGCTCTGGGGTGTGTATGGGACCATCGAGCTCTCCCGTCCACCATCTTGGGTACTCAGCCTCGTGGCGCGGGAGGCCGCAAACAGGTCGGACACCGTTGCGCCTTGTTCCACCGTTTTTTTGGGCTGCTTCTTGGGGTTCGCTTATCCATGGCCCTTTTTTAACTGCAGAGGATTCTGTGTTGCCGTGCTATAGTGTGCTGTTGGCCCAGTGATCCTTGTGGAGCTTCACCCGCACACGTCCAGCTTGCTCCGGCTGCAGAACACACTCCTTCATGTACAGTTCTGTCCTAGCTTGTCCATGTCCTGTTCTTGTTTCCCTCATGTCTTGTGTACATGTTCTGGGTTCTGCTGTCTGTCCTGCTCCAGTTCTGGGTTCTTCTAGTCTTGTCTTTTTTCCAGTACTGGATACATATCTGCATATTATCAAGCTCCTGGGATCCACACTAGCTGCTTCAGGGCCCTGGAATGTGGCCGTACAAACCCTGGTGCTCAACACCAGGGGCTGTGTGGTTACTCTGCACCAGACCTTGACTGTTCATTTCCACACTGTAATTCCTATCATTAGGCAGACAGGGGTCCTGTCTAAGTAGAATCAAGCTTTTTGCATTATACACTGTCTTTTCATAGAAAATAACTCCACTAGCCACTCCTTAGATGGCTGCTAGAGGTGCTTCCTGGGTCAGTACGGCCTAGTGTGCAGCACTACCATTCATTGTCTCCACCCTCTGCATGCAGACACTGAACTTTCCTCATAGATATGCATTGATTCAATTTAGCTTGATGAGGAGATGCTGATTGGCAAGGGCTATGTTTGACTTGTGCTGGCTCTGGTCCTGATCTGTCTAGTTAACAGTCTCAGCCAATCTTATGGGGAAGCATTGTAATTTGCTCAGACCACCACTTCTGATGATGTCAGCAGACAGTCAGTTTAGAGGCAAAGCCAGAACCCGCAGACTACAGAATACAAGTACGATTTTACTATATTTAGGGAGGCAAGAACAGGGGGGCTAGATGGTGGATTTTACATAATAGAGTCAGAAATACATGATTGTGTTCCTGACCCTATAATGTTCCTTTAAGCAAGAGTATATGAAAAGTAGTTAGGGTTGCCACCTTTCTTGGAAAAAAAATACCAGCCTTAATGATTTGTATAATTAATTAGTTATGCGTGATATCACATGATGTAAATCACAAGGAGTGACATAAGAGAAAATTCTGTAAAATCACCAATAAACTACTCACAGTTTGATTCTGCTGTATAGAGGAATTGCTCCCACTGTCTCCCAGTCTCGCAAATCACCCAGTGTCTCAGTGTCCCTATGTATCACAGTGTCAGTGTCCCCATGTCGCCCAGTCCCCTAGTCTCCCCATGGCTCAGTGTGTCCCCATGTCACTAGGATACTAGGGGACACAGTGAGACATGGGGACACTGAGAGACCCGGGGACACTGGGAGACATCTGTCCCTTAGTGGTCTCTCCTCCCCCATCTGTCTCTTATAGGTCTCCCCCCCCCCCTTCTGTCTCTTAGTGCTCTCTCTCCCCATCTGTCTCTTAGTGGTTTCCCCCCACCATCTATCCCTTAGTGGTCTCTCCCCATCTGTCCCTTAGTGGTCTCTCCCCTGCCACCCCCTAGTGCCCCTTAGTGCCTTCCCTGTTGTGTCTCCTACCTCTGTGTAGCATGGCCGGGCGGCATGGACCGAGGTACAGGATCTTCAGTTTCCTGTACCCAGCTGGTCTGACAGGAAGTGTTCACTAAGAGAGCACTTCCTTTCAAACTGGCCGGGTACAGGAAACAGACGCTCCTGTACTGTGGCCTGTGCTGCCTGGCCATGCTACACTGAGTGACTGGCAGGAGGGAGCGCTGTGCGCTTCCCTCCTGCCGGGTAACTCGGATCTTGCGGGCCAGTGCGCCCTAGGTGACTGCCTAAGTCGCCTATAGGACACGCCGGCCCTGATGGAAAGATCAAAGAGATTCTGGACATGGACTTGCCACTCCAACCCCTGCCAATGCTCTTGCACCCCACAAAACTTCCTTTATCCGCCTACAAACGCTCGCTCACTAGACACCTCTTGAACGTAGCGAAATCCCTCATCTTGATCCGGTGGCGCACAACCGATGTCCCAACACTGCAAAACTGGACGGACAAGGTAGAAGAACTGCATGAAATTGAGACAGTCACTGCCTCTCTGTGGGACAACAGAACGGTGCCTGCAGACGTGGATTCCATGGTTAGACTTTGTACTTAAACGCACAGTGCACCTGGCCTGAGGCCCCGCCTCCCCCTTCTTCTCCCTCCTTTTTATCCTACCTTTCCTCCCATTCTTCTCACCATCGCACGCGCTTCTTCTCCTGCACCTACGTCCTCTTCCCTGCGTGCCTGCCCCTCTATCTCTACTGCTGGCCCGAGTCAGCACATTTGCTCACCAGCTCGTCGGACTGGGGGTGGCGGGGCTGTGGGTTTTAGGCTCCTCTACTACTTTAACAAGCGGGCACCATGCGACCATGACTTACTAGAAATGAGGCCCACTGTGTGATGGAGTACTGTGATGCAAACATGGTCAAAAACTGGTACAATCGTGACTTAGAAGTCTGCCAGTCATGTGCTAACCCGCTATGCAAGCTCTGAACCGACACCTATTATTAAGGCATATAGAGTGTGACATATTGTTGGGCACAGCAATTGCTAGTATAATCTATGTTTCCAGAATGGTAAACCCTTGAACAGGTTTGATACATAGTTTTCGACGCAAGCTATGTCATGTAGTGTTTACATACATTGAATTCTCGATACATGTTATGCCATGTAGTGTTTACTTACAATGTATTTTTGATGTAAGCTATGCCCTGCTGTGTTTATGTACATTATATCTTTGGACGCAAGCTGAGACATAATGTATTCTTTTGTTTAAACCACATTAATGCAAAATTGAAACATGGAAAAAGAAAAGGCTAGAATAAAGATTGTCAAAAAAAATAAATATTGATTTAAAGTTTATGACCAAAGTTTTAGCTGATAGATTGAAAAATATTGTCTCTAGCATCATGCATTCAGACCAATCAGGTTTTATACCAGGTATTAAACTCAAAGATAATGTTTCTAAAAGTTATAGATATAATGGCTTTTATCCAAAGAGAAAATATTCCAGCAGTTTTGATAGGAGTTGATGTAGAGAAAGCATTCAACGGCGTGAATTGGCTATTTTTGTTTAAAACATTAGAATCAGTTGGCCTTGGATGGAATTTTATTAGTTGGGTAAAGGCTATTTATGATTATCCTAAGGCAAGAGTGAAAGTGAATGGGATAACTTCTAATTTGATTAATATGTCTAAAAGAACGACAAGGTTGCTCATTTCCCCATTACTGTTTATCTTGTCTCTGGAACCACTACTGAATGCAATTAGAAACAGTAACAAGATACAAGGCATTGAGATCCAAATAAAACAGTATAAACTGGCAGCATATGCTGATGATATCTTATTGATGCTAGCATATTAAAAGAGAGCTTGGGAAAGGAACTTTTTCGCGATCAGTAGGTATAGTAGTTTGTCTAATTTTAAGGTCAACTCGTCTAAATGTGAAGCACTAATTTTTAATATAAAAGATGATGATAGAGAGAAGCTTTTTGGGAACTTCTCATTTGAAGAGGGTGGAGGTAGCTTTAAAGTACTTGGGGATTATATACACGGAAAAAAGGGGAAAAACGTTTGTAGAAAAACTGCAGAGTCTCTCTCAAAGGGAAGAAGGGCTCTCCTGTCCCCGAAGGTGTCGTCTAGTTCCTATTCTCTATCTGTGTGGGAGTGTTCCCGTTGGGGGGGGTGAGTGGTCCGTGTCTGTATCAGGCCTTGTTAGCCCGTGGGTTCTCTGGGGTGGGTGTATCTGAGTGTCATTAGTGGGGCCTATTTTTAACTGCTCTGTCGTCCAGGGGTCCCAGGTAAGTGGCTTAGTGTTTCCTATCAGAGTCAATCGAGGTGTTCGGGGCCCTTGGGGGCTGGTTGGTAAACATTGTCCTTTGTCTCCCCTCTAGGCCATCTTAACCCTTTTCTTCCTCCGTCTTGCCCCCCCCTCCCGGCAGGTATATTTGAGTCTCATCTCGTCCCTAGTCCCTCCCTCTTTCTTTCAACATGTTCCAGATTCATACCACAATCTTAAACAGGAACATTAAAGCAGTTTAAAAATAAAGCATCGTAAAACATTATAAAATAAAATGCGAGAGGAAAGTTAATGGCGTCCCGATTCATACCACAATCTTAAACAGAAACATTAAAGCAGTTTAAAAATAAAGCATCGTAAAACATTATAAAATAAAATGTGAGAGGAAAGTTAATGGCGTGCCCAGACCAGGTACACAAGGTAAAACATCACGGGGGGGAGGAGAGGTGGACGTGAGTATCCCTTCTCTTCTCTTCTCACCCCTCACGCACCACACGTGAACCACCCCTTACAAGGTTGAATCAAACCACTTCCACAACCCCTACACCACCCACCGCCCACCAGGCTTGGCACGGACTTAGTAAGACCAAGCCCTCTTAGATAAATAGCAACGACCCTTCCCCCCAGACCCGACCCTAATACCCCACTCCGAATCCCCCTCGGATCCCCCCCGCCCCGCCGCCAAACAGAACAGTAATCGCGACACAATGCCAACCCCCAAACTAAAATGTATCTCGATAAATTGCAAGGGCCTGAACAACCCGAACAAGAGGCACCGAGTTCTTAGATGGGCCACCAGATCCAAGGCAGATGTTCTCCTCCTCCAGGAGACGCACTTTGAGCAGCATAGGCTACGTAACCGACACTATGTAGAAAGTCACCACGCAAATTCACCCCAAGGGAAACAAAGCGTGGTAGCCATCCTCATACGCAAAACCTGCTACAATTCACAGACCCACTGTGGCGGGACCAACCTCGCCACTGGCCACTGGAGGAGCCTGGTTGCCCACCTCTTGCCGCTGGACTATGGCCCTGCATTAAAAACCTTTTATTCTCCCTATGTGAGCAGTGTTACCCCAGATAGCTAAGCCATGGAGCCCATTCGTATACCGAAAGACTATGGGAAAGACTTTGGCTCCATGGTGATTGAACTGTATGCATGTGATCTGAGCGCCATCCGGTAATAATGTGCGCTCAGATCTAAGCTATCTGGGGATAGGTAGAATGTGTATGTTCGATGTGATGAACGTAACAGTATGTAATTTTATGTCTTTTACTGTCTTTTTACTGCCATGTGGTTAATGGAGTTTTTCCTCTGTCCTTGGAGATAATTGGATTACTTCCCAATTATCTCCAGAACAGAGAGGAGGGATTGTGATGCATTGTGGGATTGTTGAAGTGTGTAAGTCTGTGATTGGTCCTTTTACCCTTTGTGTCCCAGTCTTCCATCTGGTCCCCTAGGGGAGTGTCCACCAGGTGGAAGACCTGCATAAAAGCCGGGTAGGTAGCCCCAGTAAATTAGTTCTGCTTGACCCTCAGACGAAGTGTCGTCTTGTTCTTGGGGGGAATTGGATTGTATGCTGCTTGCCAGGAGTGTAAGCTGATTGTATGCTTTTCCTGTTCGGCTGTTTCCAGTGTATGTGTGGTTCCTGTTCGGGAGTTGGAGAATTTGTGTAGTTTGCAGTTCGGGAGATTGGTGATCGCAGTAGCTGTCTGTGCAGCTGAAAGGGGAATATCGCCTAACCGTTTTTAACCTCTTGATCAACCTCTTGCAAAACGGTCCGTTACACCCACAGGGCCGGTTCCTCACCATAACGGGAAATCTAGGCCCGAACAAATATGCAATCACATCGGTCTATGCTCCAATGGTCCCGAATGTGTATTTCTGGATGGCCCTACAGGCCCAATTGAGCCTGTTCCCCTCCCACCACAAGTCCCCTCCCCCCACCCAAGGTAAAAACAGATGAACTATTACATACCTTCCTGACAACCACGAATCTATATGGAGAATACATTCTTCTCCCACCCACACACGTCCTACTCACGCATTGACATGTTCCTGACCTCCCCGTCCCTACTGCAACACGTTGACAAGTCGGAGATAGGACAAATCACGTGGTCGGACCACACAGACATCTCCATAACCATAACGCTCCCAAATACGAACAGACAATGGGCTTGGTGCCTAAACCCAACACTACTCCAAGCCCCACAAATCAAAAACTCAATCAAAGAAGCCATACAGGACTTCTTTATAACTAATAAAGGCTCGCTGCCCTCGAAAGGTATACTATAAAACATACTCAGCTACCCTACTCCCACACCTTAGAGATCTATTCACATCAATCCTTAAAGGAGAACCGCTACCACCAGACATGCTCCAGGCAAACATTAGCCTAACCAAAACAAATCCCTACAAGACCCGGGACACTACTGTCCCATTTCACTCCTAAATGTAGACATTAAATTATTCACCAAACTTATTGCGAACAGACAAACATTTCCTCCCAAAGCTGATCCACCCAGACCAGGTGGGCTTTATACCCAACAGACAAGCCTATGACAACACGAGACGCACTAACGACCTAATATGGACAGCTACACACAGACGGATCCCAACACTACTATTATCCCTAGACGCCGAAAAGGCATTTGACCAGATTCTCTGGCCATACTTGCACGCTACCTTGAGGAAGTTTGGATTCCCTAGGGCTCTATTACAAGCAATCCGCAACCTCTACTCCACCCCAACAGCACGACTATTAATACCCAATGCTCTTGGGCAATGCTCTTGTATATTCCAAATATACAACGGTACTAGGCAGGGGTGCCCTCTATCCCCCCTCCTCTTTGCCCTCTCCCTTGAACGCAAAAGATTTGCAATGAATCAGCTATTCAAGGCATAAAAATAAGACGGGAGGAATACAAGGTAGCAGCGTACGCGGACGACTTACTCATGACCTTGACCGACCCCGTGACATCGCTACCCCCCCTATTAGACCTGCTAGACGAATACGCAACAATCTCAGGTTATAAACTGAATATAGAGAAAACAGAAGCCCTATCACTACAGATCCCACCCCCCATGCGAACACATTTGCAACAAACATACCCATTCCGCTTTCAAACAAATAGTATCTACTACCTAGGAATCAACCTACCCGCGGACCTACAATCCACATACAGACTAAACTACCCCTCACTACTAGACTAGGCCCAGAGAGACCTGCAAACATGATAAAAACTATCCTATTCGGACAGGACTTCCCAACACTTTATCTGTGGATACCGAAACCACATAGACCACAGACACCAAACAAGACACCAGCCCTCACAACAGCCATCCACATATGGAACAGAGTGACAGACAAATACAACCTCATAAACACACCCTCACCCCTAACGCCCGTACTGAGAAACCCTCAATTTGCCCCGGGAATGACACCCCAACACTTTACCCGCTATGAAGACAACGAACTCACTAGGATCTGTCATTTCTACCGAAATAACTGCCTCCTCCCCTTCCCGGACCTACCAAACGACACGCCATACAACACGTTCGATCACTTCCGATACCTCCAGCTCCGTAGCTTCTTGACCACCCCCAGCATCGCCGAAGCGGCAGTGGCGCGGCCAACGGCATTTGAAAGGGGCTGCCTGAGCAACCCAATACACAAAGATCAGATATCCAACCTATACAACACCATGACACTTAAAACCCCCTCCGAGACCTTCTCCTACGTGAAGGCCTGGGAAAGGGACCTGGGCCCCCCAGAGGACCCAACGGATTGGGCGGACATTTGGGAGGCTATAGCGACAGTAACCATATGTGTTAACCACATGAGCAGGCCTACAAAACTCTGCTCCGGTGGTATCTCACCCCCCTGAGACTCAAACAAATGAAATGAACAGACTCGGACAGATGCTGGAAAGGGTGCGGCAAGAGGGGAACGTACGTCCATATGTGGTGGGAATGCAGACACATAACCCAAATATGGAAAGAAATGGCCACTATCACCTCGAGAGCATTACAAACTGACATCCCCCTAGATCCATGGATTTGGCTACTGTCGAAACCCCACGAAAACCTGACCCGAGCACAAAACAAGCTGGTAGCAAAGGTGGCCTTAGCAACACGTAGAACAATAGCTACCCATTGGGGAAGCCCGGAGATCCCAGAAAAAGATTGGGGAGGCTATGGAAATGGACGAACTGTCCGCACTGATACACAAAAATACCAGATCCTTTCACAAAATCTGGGACCCCTGGTTGGCATTGTAGAGTGATTTGGATGGTGGGTGGGACTAGGGGGAAGAACAGATAGAATTGGGATGTTGGTGGATACATTAACCGGGGAAGACACCCCCACTCCCTTTACCTACCTTGTTACTCTCAACCCTGAGTAACAACAACTTACGAATGCTGACAGCAAAAAACAACATAATGCAAGAAAATATGAATGTATGCAAAAATAAAAATGTAAAATCTGAAATTGTAATCCCATCTTCTTGTAATACATTGTAACCCTTCTCCTTATTTTGTAACCCCCACGCATGAAAAACTCATGAAAACTCAAAAATAAAGAATTTACAAAAAAAAAAAGTACTTGGGGATTAAACTACTGGGACGGATAACCTGGCACCCCAACTGGTCATCTCCGCCAACAGATGCTTCCTAGCTGATGCTGAGGACCGCAAGCACCGCACCGGACACCACAAGCACCGCAGACTCCACAACCGCCGTAGCTTAGCTGGGATCTCGCCATCTTCCTCCCACCCTGGACCAACCTCTGATATCCAGGACCTTGTGCGAAAGACCTCTCCTACTCCAGAGAGTGTAGCAGGAACAGCTCTTATAAGAGCTAGTGATTAGAACCCAGGGGAGTATAAGGAGTATAGCAATCCCCAGTGTGAATATAGCAGTTCCCCTCCAATTACGAGACCAAGCTACGTGTTGAGGGTTAAGCAGGGACTCAATTTTAATGGAGGCATTTTATGCAAGTTTCCCAACAAGAGTGACACCCAGGTGGACCTTATTGGGCACAGGGACACCAAGGGAATAGACCAATAAGAACAATAATTAACTTATGACACTCCCATAACACACATACAAGTGGAAGTCATAGTTTTGCCCAAGGGGCAGACATGGTCCCTGCCCAAAACAGTTCCAAGAGGGAACCATGAGGTTTTCATGCCGAAAATGGTTCCAGGGCATTCGCGGCTAAGTCCCGCAGTAGTCTATTCGCGGTTTTGGTCCATGCGAACAAGATGGCCACCACCACATGGTCGAATGCCACTTCAAATGGCTTCGGGAATTCGGGAGTTTCGAAGTGCCACTTCGAAAGTTTGAATAATTATTGTCCAAAGTTATAATAAGTATAAATAGGGTTTTTTAACCATAATAAATTAAAAGGGGCCATAGTCACAGGGTATAAGGCTGGCAACTAGTCCCCTCCAAACCCCAGTGGTGAAGTGGCTTTTGCCACAACTACCATATCAGCTTAAGGATTGGTATGATTTGAATTTTTCTCCTTTGATTAAACAAATTACTAAACACTTGAGAAATTGGTCATTACCACAGATATCATGGTATGGCCAGGCGGCAGTGTTATCAATGAATGTCCTCCATAGGCTGCTTTTTATGTTTCAGGCTGTCCCAACTTGGCTACCAAAGTCTTTTTTAAAAGAGATAAGGCACATTATTTTGGTATATGCTTATTTGATTAGATCAGAAAGTTTGGGGGGTTTGGGAGTTCCAGGCAGTTATCGATACCATCAGGCAGTTCATTGGAATAGGATACTTGACTGGTCTCAAAGGATATCTAGGAATGTATAGGAGTTCCAATTAACATGATAGCTTGGTTAAATAATCCAAAATTTTATCTGAATGAATAAGATCATCCTACCTTGTTACCTACATTTCGGGTCTGGGAAAAATGTAGGACACTAGGTTAGTAAATTTCCTAGTTTACTGTTCCCTATATCTCATAATTTAGATTTTCAACCAGGAAGAGCGTCCGCTAATCATATTAGGAGGATATTAAATATATTTACTAAGATCCATGAGAATAAAACCCCTTTCTTAGCGATGGCCTTAGACGGAGAAAAGGCATTCGATAGGGTCGGCTGGAATTTTATGTATTCAACGTTAAAAGCTTTTGGATTTTCTGGCCAGATTCTTTCGGCGATAATGGCCTGCTACTCTTCACCATCTAGCAGGATAGTAGGAGGGGGGATTAAGTCAGAGTGGTTTATGCTATCAAATGGTACCCGACAAGGATGCCCTCTCTCCCCACTATTGTATATCCTAACGGCTGAACCCTTAGCACACGAAATACGTAATAATATGGATATAACTGGGTTTAAAAAAAGGGATAAAGATTTCAAGATAAGTCAATATGCCGATGATACTTTGATAACGCTAACCAACCCAAGTAAGTCAGTGCCAGCTACTATGCAAGTAATTGAAAGATATAGTTATTTGTCAAATTATAAACTTAACGTTCAAAAAACATTGGCATTACCCTTTTATATGGAAGGAAAAGAATTGCAACAGCTAAAAGAACATTTTGCCTTTAAATGGGAAAAAAAGGGATTTATACATCTTGGAATCAATATAGTGAAAGACCCAGAGAATACAATGAAGGCCAATGTAATTCCTCTTATCAGAGAATGTACTCACTCTCTGAAACAATGGAACGCCTTGCAGTTATCATGGTGGGGAAGGGTTAATTTTATTAAGTCATATGTTTTCCCTAAGTTTATCTACTTACTGAGGATGATTCCTCTACAGATTCACCCACAACGGCTTAGACTTGTGAATAAGTTATTCAGGGATTATATCTGGTCTGATAAGAAACCTAGAATAGGCCAGGATCTCTTATACTTGAAGCATAAGGAAGGAGGGATCGGTTTTCCAAATATTTTTTTATACCATCAAGCGGCACAGTTGATGCATACTCTTCCTTTAATTAAGCAGTATTCGTGTTCACAAGATTGGTTTAAAATAGAAGGTGCAGGTATTACAGATCCATACAATAATGTTAGATTAATGTGGGCCATAAGAAATAATAGTAGAACTAAAAATATAAAATGCACGACGGATAATCTGATAACTAGACCACTCTTAAAGTTCTGGCTACATCCTAAAAATCTTTTAGACTTGAAAAATAAAGTTTTACCTGCTCTGACCTTCAAAAATCTAGATACATGGATGGAAAACATGGATACGTCCGAATGGACTAGACTTGGTGTTAAAAAATTAGCTGACTTATTAGTAGATGGGAAGATTATGCCCTTTGCTGAGATACGCAGAATCACTGGCATTTCGTATTTACAAACGTTTAATTATATCAGAATTAAAAGTTTTCTGCAAAGCGCCCTTGGAAGCAACACGAGCTCTTTCTCATTATCTAAACTAAATGTTTTGACAGACTCAGAGAAAAATACTAAAATACTAACCAGATGCGTTGAGATTATAAAAGCTATTAAAAGACCTGTTTATCCTATAGCTAAAGGTAAATGGGAAAGAGATTTGATAATAAAATTTGATATAAAGGAATGGTATAAGGCTTTACAATCAGTCTATTCCACGATACACTGTCTAAATATTAGGGAAGCACATTTTAAAATACTTAATAGATGGTACATGACTCCCAATAAGATCCAGAAATTTGCAAAGGCAGGGACATCTAGATGCTGGAGATGCGGAAATGAGGGAGCAAATGAATTACATATATGGTGGGATTGTGCCCCAATTAAGGAAGCATGGGTTCAATTTATGGACCAAGTAAATAAATTGCTGGATATAACCCATTCTTGGACCCCAGACAACTTGCTTTTACATTTAAATCTACCGCAATTAACTAAAGATAAGAGAGATCTGTTGATTCAGGCTTTGATGGCCTTTAAAATGGCTATTGCAAAAAATTGGAAGAGGACAACAATTGATTCATGGCCACAAATTAAGGCATCTATTATTATTCAATGCAAAATGGAAAGGGGAATAGCCTCTAATTTAAGTATTAATATTAGACAATATGAGATTTGGGATGAATGGATAAAGGTCCTTGAGAATTAAACAATGGAATGTATATATTGTGCAGTAATTAATTGGTAATTTCTGAAGGAGCGGAAATTTAATCTAACTTTATGTAATCTGAGGGTAGAGCTGAATGAATAGGACAGGATGGTCAACTTTGTTATATGTTTGTTAGTTTATATGTATTTCTTTATTTATTGTATTTATTCTATATGCATTGTATGATATGCACGCAATGTATGATATGATATGTATATATATGTATGTTTGATAAAAAAAAAGGAAAATAATAATTAAATAAATTATAAAGAAAAGATTTTCAACCTGGCCTTGACAATCATAATCTATTAATCTCTATTAAGAAAGAGGAAGTGTACATTAAATTGAAGAGTATTTTAGATGTTAGCTTAGGTAGGATATTACCCTTCGAGAAGATCCTGTAAATGAAATACCTAAAAGGGCTCCTTTCTTGTATTTACAAATATATTCTTTCTTGCAGAGATTAGGAATAAGTGATAGTTAACTTTGCTTTTAACCCCTTTAAAGGGATCAGAAGAGCCGAGTACCCCATGCTTTATCTAAAATTTATCACATGTAAAATGTCCCATTAACATCCAATCTTCTGTATTTTACTAGACTTTGGGAGAAGGATTTGAGGCTTACTTTTACGAAATTAGAATGGTGTACAATTTTTAAAATAAATAAAAATTGTTCTATTGCTTGCAGATTTCAGGAACTAGGGTATAAAATCATCTCTAGATGGTTTAGAGTCCTAGCTGACATGTATTCTATCCATCTTTGTCCAATAAATCTTGGCGATGTTTAAAAGAGGAAAGCAGTTTATACCATATATGGTAGACATGTCCTGCCATACAACTATTTTGGAAACAGGTGTATGGTATTCTTAAAAAAGTAAGTAGATTGAATTGTCACCTGAATTTATTTTGTTGTTTCATATGGATAAAAAAAATGGCAGGGATTTGTAGATTCTCTTGAGATAAGACTAATGCTGCAAAATAAATCATCCCAGCTTATTGGAAAAGAAAAATAACTCCACCACTAAAAGAATGGCTTCACAGAGTTAATAATATCAGACGGATTGAACAATTAGCTTTTTGGGGAAATAGAGTAGGAGACCATATTAAGAGATGGGAACCTTGGGAGAGATTCCTTATTGGTTCCAGATCTGGTTCTGATGCCTTGGATCAAGTGGGTTAGAAGACAGACGTGAGAAGGTGGGATAGCTACTTGTCACAGATATGGGATGGGGGTACCAAGGTGGGATGGCAGGGGAGGTAAGACACTGGGTCAATTTTTTTTTCATTTTTTGTTGTTGTTTATTTATTATTTATTAAATGTTACATAATTAAAAGGAATTATCTTTTCTAAAAAGGTAAATTTGTGTAATACAAATACAAAAAGATAAGTCCTGCGCTCACATCATTCCTGGGCGGCAGCAATGACTACAGTACACATCAGCCCCAATATATAGTTAAAAACCAAAGGAAAAAAGTTACCTGCACTCTCTCCTTAATCCCTATATATATTTAGACAAATGGAGGTCATTTAGTTACTCCAATGGTGTGGGGATATTTATGGGATAATAATAGTAAACAGTGAGAATTGCCCACTAATTCAATTCTCAGATCCAAAGATCGTTTATCGTGTTAAGTGGAAAGTATTTCATATAATTAAAATCACAATTTTGTTATAAAAATAGATTTTATTTTATAATAACAAATTAATTAATAATAATATGTAACATGCGTGACAATAATCAATGAATATCCAGTATAAAATGGTATGCAATACAATGGAATGGCTATACACGTTTCAATGGCTAAACAGCATTTTCTGTCAAGACTTTACACGATTTATGACTATCTTTACAGACTGAAAGTGAAGCTTTTCACAGCGAAGGGCCATAAAACCCTGGCTAACAGTTAGAATAACCCTTTCAATGCTGGCTAGATCTCCTAGGTAATTAAGATCTATTCTTATGTAATTTTAAATAAAATAACATTTAAACCAGTTCATTAGTCATTTCCTGGAACCATCCAATAAGAGAATCTACCATGATATAAGCAGATTTTAATTTTAATTTGCCTAAACAGATCTTTTATCTTATTTTAGAGCAAATCAATACACCTGGATAAAAACAGCGGTATGCCAACACGTGATAATATCACATTAATATATAATTATTCTTAATTCCACCTGCAAAATGGAATGTTTATAACTACATATTCTTTAGTTAACTAAGATTTCTTAATATGGAAATCTGACCGTGCTTTATCCAGTCATATATCATGCTATTAGTAAATTTTTATTAATTTAATTAATTAAATGAAACCAGTATAATTACCAGTTGAGTAGATATTTCATCCGATTGGTAGATAGTCTCAGGAACTTATTTGGATGTCTGTAGGTGTATGAGTTATGGTGAAAGGTGGTGTTGGTTAGAAAGTCAGTAAAATTCTAAGTGTTAGAGTTTTAAGAGTAGAGTGTTAGTCTCAGATGTTGTCCTGGGTTTCTCTGCATGTCCGAGTTGGAGTCCCCAAACTTCCAATTCCTCTCTCCTCTTTTTCCTTCTTTCCTTTGTCCTAACTTTTAAAGGGCCAGACTCTCTGTACGTCATCAGTTGATAACCCAATAGAAGCACTAGAGGTGTGCTTACCTAGGGATCGCAATTTAGGTATTTGGTCTATAGAGGGCAGTCTTGTGCCACTAAACATACCTATCCAGGAAAGAGTTAACTTTTCCTGGTGGCTATTTTGACGTCATTTTGCTTATCTCAAATGACCACCATAACTTAGATTTGCTGTCACTTCAAACAGTTTCTTTAAGTTTTGTCCAGACTTAGTGTCTGGCAAATTCTGAGTTTTGACCCGTAACTTACAATGGGACCTTGTACATATAGAAAGTAAAATGTTATTATTTAATCTCCTCTGTCACAAATGTCTGGGTTTAGAATGCATCTATTCCATTAGCATTTAGACAGTCTGTCCAACCCCCGTTCTCCTTATCACTTGGTTTGTTTATACTATGCATTCCTTTAGCTCTGGCAAAGTGGTTAGTTTTACAGATAGAAATCTTGTGTCTTTTGTTAACTTGGAAATAACAAAATGGAGTCTGCTCTGTTCAGAGTGACTCAGAATATACACTTTTAATTTCTATCATAGCACAAGATGTCTGCCGATATAAATACCCTGACAATGGCCATTATTGTGAGGTATTATTATTATTATTATTATTTTATTATTATTATTTTATTATTTATATAGGTACCAACTCTTTTACAAATGTTAATGAATTGAATTGTTCGAAGATGCTAATACTGAATTTATGGGTATATGGGTAAATTTATGCGACCTCCTAACTTAATTAGGATTGAGATTTAACAGATTAAATGCCCATATATAACCCTTCAATATGAACTTATATTATATTTCCTTCTTTCCTTCCCCCTTCCTCTTTCCTTCCCTCACTTCCTTATTATTGTTTGATTCTTTGTATATTATAACTTCAATTTTAGGGATTACACCTTCTTCAGCCATTAGTAATACTCCCCAATAAAGAAAAAAAGAAAAAAGGTTTAATCCTATTTCATCCTTTTATATTTATCCGATCTCTTACAAATATTAGTGAATTAGATTATTCAATCCCTAGATATTCTTAATATATATATATTCATTGCAAGGTATCCATTCTCATGCTTATATTAGTGAGTAAAATTATTCAGACCATATTCTTCCTTTATAAATTTATATCTTGTGAGGTATAAATATAACATCCTTAGATTTGTAGTGAAGGTCCTTGTATCCATAATAACATAATAAAATATACTTAATACCTATGTATATTTAGACAAATGGGGGGTCTGCCTTGACGTTGGCAGACGGGCATTCCCTCCAATGGCCATTGGAGCAACTAAATGACCTCCATTTGTCTAAATATACATAGGGATTAAGGAGAGAGCATAGGTAACTTTTTTTTTCTTAAATTTGGGTAATATGTACAAATGCTTTGTTAATGTAATTTCTACTCAGAATTTATTTTCTTTTACCACCAAAAAAGCTTAGAAAAACGTAAACTTTGCTGATGAGGGCAAAAGAAGTCTGAAACGTTTTGCTGGGGGTTGCTATATCTCTCGTGAAAAAGGAACGTCTAGCAAAGTGTGTCTGCAGTTAGTTTCATTATAGTGCAAGTATAATGAAGAAGAAAAAAAAACCTATACAAAAAAAGAGGAGAAGACAGGAGAATAGGATAAGGTAAAGTATCCTAAGGAGTGGATTATCTAAGGAAATGAGAGTGAGGGTAGTGTAGCTTGATGGCAGGTGCAAGCCACTGACTTAATAACATTTAACTTTTAATGGTAATGCATTTAAAAAGGTAGTAGGCACCTAACAATCTAAGTGAAAGTGTAGCTAAAACAGCACTTAAATGCCTGTGCGGCTGGTAGTTATATAGCCTATGTGGTATTAAGTTGCAGTGTAGCGTTGATACCATAGTGGGACAATACTGACGGTTTTCTGAGGCCACACAGTCCCACGGACTAGGATCAGTATAAATCTGAGTTTTTTAGAGCCCCAAATCTAAGTCATGTTTGCTCTAGAATTGAGCAGGGTAAGGATACATATTACTTAGATGATACAGAGATACTTTGCCTATAAGATATTTGCAACAAAGTAGCCTGTAATAGCATGAATGATGGTTAGGGCTGAATATAACTTTAAAGTGACACTATAGTCACCTATCTATAGCTCCCTGCAGGCAATCTAATGTAAACACTGTATCTTCAGAGAAAATACAGTGTTTACATTAATTGATAGGAATACCTCCAGTGACCATCACTCAGACGGCCACCAGAGGGACTTCCTATTATGTAGGGCCCTAAAAGGGCCATGTGCACTGTGTGCGCGCCTTCTTTCTCCTGCTTGTCGGCCGAGGAGAGGGGACGGGCAAAGACCGCGAGCTGAGCTGTCAGTCAGCTCAGCTCGCGCACACCGTGCACATGCATGGTAATGCGCTCAGGACTTCAGAGGGCGGCATGAATGCCGCCCTCTGAGGGATGTGCGCATGTGCGGCGAAGCTGCACATGCGCCCAAGGTACCAATGACGCTTCCAAATGGTAGCGTCTGATTGCTCCCTGCTCGCGCCTGCCTATTTTGTCATTTTGACGAAATAGGGGGCGCGGCTTCACGAGGCTCCTGGCGCTGGAACCAGGTGAGTAAAACCGGGTTAGCTGGAGAGTCCCTTTAAAGTAAAGAATTGCGTTCGGAATGCTGTCTATGTCACTTCAAGGTGACATTCTGTCTGTCTATGGATATTCTTTTAAATCTTAGGGGGAAGTGTCTATTAGCTTCGTCCCCTTACGATATGTACAGCACAAGTTATATACCTGATAGAGCAGTACACATTTAGCTAAGGTGAATATAACTAATTTAAAAGTGTGGAACTTAGTGGCAAAAATAACAGTGCGTCTGTAGGTGAGTCTCCCACTTTAATATTGGTAGGTGATAGCTTCTAGCTTATGATCGTGTGAAGTTGTGCTACAGATATGATGGAACAAGATGGCTAGCTAAAACAGTGCCTAACAAAAGTATTCACCCCCCCTTGGCATTTTTCGTGTTTTGTTGACTCACAACCTGGAATTAACATGGATTGTTTGGGGATTTGCATCATTTAATTTACAGAACATGCTCACAACTTTGAAGATGATTTTTTTTTTTTTTTTTTATTGTGAAGCAAAAAACAAATAGGACAAAATAACAGAAAAATTCAATGTGCATAATTATTTACCCCCCTAAAATCAATACTTTGTAGAGCCACGTTTTGCGGCAATCACAGCTCCAAGTCGCTTTGGATAAGTCTCTATGAGCTTGACACATTTTACCACTGGGATTTTTGCCCATTCCTCCTTGCAAAATTGCTCCAGCTCTCTCAAGTTGGATGGTTTGCGCTTGTGAACAGCAATCTTTAAAAGGACACTATAGTCACCTGAACAACTTTAGCTTAATGAAGCAGTTTTGGTGTATAGAACATGCCCCTGCAGCCTCACTGCTCAATCCTCTGCCATTTAGAAGTTGAATCCCTTTGTTTATGAACCCTAGTCACACCTCCCTGCATGTGACTTGCACAGCCTTCCATAAACACTTCCTGTAAAGAGAGCCTTATTTAGGCTTTCTTTATTGCCAGTTCTGTTTAATTAAGATTTTCTTATCATCTGCTATGTTAATAGCTTGCTAGACCCTACAAGAGCCTCCTGTATGTGATTAAAGTTTTAGAGATTGAGATACAATTATTTAAGGTAAATTACATCGGTTTGAAAGTGAAACCAGTTTTTTTTTCATGCAGGCTCTGTCAATCATAGCCAGGGGAGGTGTGGCTAGGGCTGCATAAACAGAAACAAAGTGATTTAACTCCTAAATGACAGTGAATTGAGCAGTGAAATTGCAGAGGAATGATCTATACACTAAAACTGCTTTATTTAGCTAAAGTAATTTAGGTGACTATAGTGTTCCTTTAAGTCTGACCACAGATTTTCTATTGGATTGAGGTCTGGGCTTTGACTAGGCCATTCCAACACTTTTACACGTTTCCCCTTAAACCACTCAAGTGTTGCTTTAGCAGTGTGTTTGGGTTCATTGTCCTGCTGGAAGGTGAAACTCAGTCCTAGCCTCAAACCACGCATAGAGTGGTACAGGTTCTGCTCAAGAATATCCCTGTATTTTGCACCATCCATCTTTCCCTCAATTCTGAACAGTTTCCCAGTCCCGGCTGCTGAAATAAATCCCCATAGCATGATGAACATCCCCCACCATGGTGTTCTTTGGGTGAAGTGATGTGTTGGGTTTGCGCCAGATATAGCGTTTTTTCTTTGATGGCGGAAAAGTTCAATTTTTGTCTCATTAGACCAGAGCACCTTCCTCCATACATTTTGGGAGTCTCCCACATGCCTTTTCGCAAACTCAAAACGTGCCATTTTGTTTTTTGCTGAAAGTAATGGCTTTCTTCTGGCCACTCTGCCATAAAGCCCAATTCTATGGAGCGTACGGCTTATTGTCGTCCTATGTACAGATACTCTAGTCTCTGCTTTGGAATTCTGCAGCTCCTCCAAGGTTACCTTAGGTCTCTGTGCTGCCTCTCTGATTAATGCCTTCCTTGCCAGGTCCGTGAGTTTTGTCCAAGGAAAGTCAATTTTCCTTGGACATAGTTGCTCTTTAGATGGGCTCCCCAACCCCATTGATGTCAATATACAGAAATAGAATGATACTTCCAGGATGAAATCTTCTCATTACTTAAAAGAGGCTTATCGTTTGTTCCTACACCCAGCGCTAATAAGTTTGAATGGCTTAAAGATATCAATCTCTCTGGCCGTAAACTCGCACTGTGTACACTTTACAAAAGGAAGAATAATAAAGCAGCTAAGGAATTGGGTCTTATCCATTGGTGAACAAAGAGCTTTGAGAAAACTTAACATGAGGAAAGATCTCATCATTAATCCGTCTGACAAGGGGGGTAATACTGTTATCATTGAAAGGGATAAATACACTGAGATGTGTATGCATCACCTTAACGACACCTCCTGCTACAAAAAGTTAGATGGAGACCCCATCCTACCTAACCTATCTCAGATCTCTTTTGAACTCAGCCCTCGGAGATAACATTATTACAACAGACGAATCGAGATTCATTATGCCTAAAAACCTACCCACTATAGCCACCTTTTATTGCTTACCAAAGGTTCACAAAAACATCACCAATCCACCAGGCAGACCGATCGTCTCTGGAAATCCGTCCCTTACGGAAAATGCTAGCAAATTTTTCGAAAATCTTTTACATCCCTTTGTCACACAACTGGTCTCTTTTTTTACAAGACACAAAACAGACATTACTCACTCTAGAAAACCTTGTGGTCCCCCCTACACTCTTCTTGCCAGCGTAGATGTGGTGTCCTTATATAACAATATTCCACACACCATAGAGATAAAAGGGACATCTTATTTTTTGGAAAAATCCCCAACATATTTTATGCTACACAAAAAATTCCTACTAGATCTGCTATCTTTTATCCTTATGCATAACTACTTTGTCTTTAATGGCACCTATTACCTACAACTGAAGGTCACTGCTATGGGGACAGCTTGTGCCCCTAGCTATGCTAATTTGTACTTAGGATGGTGGGAAGAAACAGCACTTACTAAAATTGATTGTAGATATAGCCAACATATACTTAGCTCGCACAGATACATCGATGAGGTGCTTTTATTTTGGACGGGACCAATTACAAGATTCGAACAGCTAGTTGACATTTTGAACAACAATGACATAGGTCTACAATTAACCTCTGTCATTGATGAAAATACCCTAGAATTCCTTGATCTAAGGATCACACTAACCATGGATTATTTAGAAAAGCTACTGCCACAAATAATTTGCTCCGTTGGCAAAGCCACCACCCAGTTAAACTTAAAGCTGGGATACCTTACGGACAATACCTCAGAGTACGGAGGAATTGTTCCAATGAAGTGACATTTCAATAAGAAGCAAAAGAAATCAGGACAAGATTCAAAAAACAGGGGTATCCTATTAAAATCCTGAAAAAAGCTTACCAGAGGTTCATCACAATGGATAGACCTACTTGTCTTCGTTCATCCAGACCAAAAGCTACAAAGCAGGTCATCAGATGTATTGGGACATACGGTCAATACTGGGACCCAGTGAGAAAAATATTTTCCTGCAATTGGCCAATCTTGCTACATGATAAAAAAACTCAACGATAACATCACTCCCTACCCCAGTATAAACGTTCATCGACCTAAAAATCTGAGAGACATACTGGTATACAGCCACCTGGAACTACCAACTATAACTCCTGGCTGGCTTTCTCAGACTAAGGGAGTTTTTAAATGTAAGGCCTGCAAATTCATCAACACATCAAAATCGATAATGTGCACCAGAACAGAGAACCATTACCCAGTCCGTGACTTTATTAACTGTAGTTCTACAAGAATTGTATACATCATCACCTACAGTTGTAATTTACAGTATATAAGCAAAACATACCAACAATTCCGCCGACAAATATTACAACATGTCAATTCGGTCAGTAATATGAACATCACCACACTTATATCCAAGCATGTTCGCTCCCAACATCAAGGCGATCCTTCTAATCTCCAATTCCAAGCAATTGAAAGAATTTCCACTGATGCCAGAAAGGGCATTTAATATGCGATTATTGAAAAGGGAGTCAAAATGGAATCACAAATGCAAGACACTCTCCCCTCTGGGTCTCAATAAGGAGTTCAACTTTATTCCTTTTATACATTAATCACACATTCAACCCAGAAATATATTCTTTCCTACATTTATTCTTTATGGCAAAAATTCCAAACTGTCACCAACTAAGTTCTTACTATATTAAATACTTTATATACTGCATTTACTAAGTAAGTTAGGTATAACAATGCCTTCCTCTTTAAAGTTTTGTGGATGATGCTAAGTTTTAGTCACACTAAAATTACCAACTGGTTTTATTCCTTAATTTTCACTAAGGGTCACTTTCCCTATTGGTTGGCTTTGAATAGAGAATTCCCTCCATGACTGAAAGGGATACGTTAGATACACTCCCATTAAAGGAATTTCACCATTCCCATTGGTCCAATTGATTTTTAAATGGACCAATCATAGCCAACCTACTCCCTTCTTAACCGGGTTCCATCAGAGGGGCGGCTCCCCTCTGATGAGCCAAAGTGGCGGAACGCGAGTCAGGGGAACTGACTAAGTGCTATCCACAGCCACTGTACCATCAGTGTGGTACCTATACCTGATAAACCTGCAAAATCATGAGCAGATTCAATTATCAAGGCACCACTCATTCTAGGCTTTGATGTCAGTTACTGTTACTAGACAAACTGCTTAGCTAGAACGTGTGTTTTTCACTTATCTTAATCGAGAATCACTGAGCTCGTTTTCCACGCTGTCACCTTGTTAATGTTAGGGTTATCACAACACTACCTATTTCCGTAGCATCTGGTAGCACTAAGGGGCATTTATTAACAATGAGGGAGGGTGGATATTTCCCTTAGAAAGTACTAGTATTAGGCCTTTTTTTAAGGGATGCCCTTGAAGGCACTGTACATAGGATACCTCACTTTAGGGCTTACCCTACCTATATTATTCTAGCTAACTGACTCCACTGTATTCCTTCTCCCTTCTATTAATCTACTTTTGGCTCAATTGTAAGACCATCAAGCGTATTTTACAATTAATTACCGAATGACAGCAAAAAAGCGCTTTGATATCTACCTACAGAGAGTGCTAGTGTATTTCTATTTGTACCTGTTCCGGCACTAATGCCAATCGTTGCTGCAAGATCAATTAGACCTCATAGACTCAGTACCCCTTGTCTAGCAATCTCCCATGATTGTCTCGTAGCCAAACAGTAAAGTACTGTTTAGTGAATCTACCCCCACACTGATCTCTACACTATCCCAGCTTACACTCAGGTAGATACTGACATGCTGGCGATAGATACCTACCGGCATAGCAGTTGATAATTACCTCTATACCCACTACTCTCCGCTTGTTAATTGTCTTACCTGGCTATTCACCAAGACTCAGGGCTGCCATCAGAAATTTTGGGCCCCCTGACACAGCTCAAGGTCTGGGCCCCCCGGTGCCTGCACCCGAGTCCCCCTCCCCAAGTCCGCCCACAGGGATGCAGTGTCTGCAAGGATTTTTGCCGCCCTAGGCAAAAGTAAAGTTTGCCGCCCCCCATGTGATATCACAATGCCCCACCTATATGATCTGCCATGTTAACTAACACAGTGCTGCAGTGCCGCTGTGTTTACAATAAAAGGCCTGCAGGGACAGGCTATAGACACCAGAACCACTACATTAGCTGCAGTGGTTCTGGGGACTATAGTGTCCCTTTAATGTGAGGTAAATTAGAGATTAGTGCCACAAATAATATACTAGATTGCCTACTTACAACCAGATGAGGATGATGATGGGCTCTAGCTGCCGTCTGGCTCCACTGGTCTGGTGTAGAACAGGCTCTCTGGAGGCGGTTTGTAACTGTGGTCACAAAAATCAATGTTCTGGGAGAACGGGAAGCAGCTCCATTTTTTTGAGGGCCCTTTACACAGCTCAAGGTCTGGGTCCCAGGGTCCACCTTCATGTTCCACCAATGAGTTTGTTCACAGGGGGTGGAGTGTGTGTGTGGGGGATGTCCTGATGTGTGTAAGGAATGCATTGTGTAAATCTGTGTTTGTATGTGTAAGGGCTGCAAGGTGAGTTTGTGTATGTATGGGATGCAGTGTGTGCGTCTGTAAGGGATGCATTGAGTGTGTGTAAGGGGTGCATTGGGTGTTTCTGTGTGTAAGGGATGCATTGCTTGTGTATGTGTGTCTGTGTGTAATACATTGTGTGTTTTTCTGTGTGCAAGGGGTGCATTGTGTGTGTGTGTGATGGATGTCAATCTCTCCCTCTACCCCCGTCAATTTCCTTCTCCCCCCTCTATCCAATTTCCTTCTTCTCCCCCTCCCTCTCATTGCCTTCTCCCCCCCTCCCTCTCATTTCCTTCCTTCTCCCCCTCTCATTTCCTTCCTTCTCCCCCCCTCCCTCAAATTTCCTCCCTTCCTCTCCCCCCCTCCCTCAAATTTCCTCCCTTCCTCTCCCCCTCCCTCAAATTCCTCCTTCCTCCTCCTCCTCCCTCAAATTTTTCTCCTTCCTCTCTCCCCTCCCTCAAATTTCCTCCCTTCCTCTCCCACCCTCCCTCTCCACCCTCCCTCAAATTTCCTTCCACTCTCCCCTCCAAATTTCCTCCCTTCCTCTCCTCAGGTTCCTCCTTCTCTCCCCTCCCTCAAATTTCCTTGCTTCCTCTCCCCATTTTCCTCCTTCCTCCCCGTCAAATTCCTCCCCTTCCTCTCCCCCCTCCCTCAGTTTCCTTCCTCCTCCCCCCCCCTCAAATTTCTTCCTCTCTCCCCCCCTCAAATTTCCTCCTTCCTCTCCCCTCCCTCCCACTCCCTCAAATTTCCTCCCCTCCCTCTCCCCCCCCACTCCACTCAAAATTTCCTCCCTCCCTCTCCCACCCGCCTCAAATTTCCTCCCTCCTCTCCCTCCCCACTCCTCAAATTTCCTCCCCTCTCCCCCCCCTCACTCACTCAAGAGTTTCCTCCTTCCCACTCCCCCCACTCACTCAGGTTTCCTCCTCTCCCCCACTCACTCAAATTTCCTCCCTCCTCCACACCCCCCACTCACATTTCCTCCCCTCCCCCCACTCACTCAGGTTTCCTCCTTTCCCTCCCCCCACTCAAATTTCCTCCCTCCCCCCCACCCACTCAAGATTTCCTCCCCCCACTCCTCCAAGTTTCCTCCTCCTCCCCCCCCACCCCCACTCACTCCAGAGTTTCCTCCCTCCCCCCACCCCCACTCACTCAAATTTCCTCCCTCCCCCCCACCCCACTCACTCAAATTTCCTCCCTGACCCGGGAGGGCGCGCGAGGGAGCACTCTACTCTGTGTGCTTCCTCTTCAGCTCCCTCGTGCGCCGTACTGATGCGGAGCCGGAAGATGACGCAGGGCCCCCTGCGACCCTGTATGTACCCACTGAATGTGGGGCCCGGACGACCTTAGCAGTCCGGGCCCCCCAGGACCGCCGGGCCCATGACAACCGTTGCGGTTGTCATGCCCTGATGGCGGCCCTGCCAAGACTGCATACTCTGCATGAGCATATCGCCAGCAGACATTTCTTGCAAAAAAGGGTTATTCACTAACAGTCAGACTGCCACTTTGGTAGTTTACACTATATTCTTGTATTAGCTAGCGATCTTGTTCCATCATATCTGGCTATCAATTCGTGTGGCACAACTTCACACAATCATAAGTTATCAGATATCACCTACCAATATTAAAGTGGGAGACTCACCTACAGACGGACTGTTATTTTTGCCACTAAGTTCCACTGTTATATTCCCCTTAGCTAAATGTGTACTGCTCTATCAGGCATTTAACTCGTGCTGCATAAATCACACGGGGACAAAGCTAATAGACATCTCCCCCTAGGATTTAAAAGAATATCCATAGAAAGACAGAATGTCACCTTGAAATGACATAGACAGCGTTCCGAACGGAATTCTTTACTTTAAAGTTACAACCAGCCCCAACCATCATTCATACTATTACAGGTTACTTTGTTGCAAATATCTGATTGGCAAATTATCTCTGTATGATCTAAGTATTATGTATCCTTACCCTGCTCAATCCTAGAGCAAACATGACTTAGATTTGGGTCTCTAACGAACTCAGATTTATACTGATCCTAGTCCGTGGGACTGTGTGGCCTCAGATAACCGTCAGTATTGTCCCATTACGGTATCAACGATACACTGCGACTTAATACCACATAGGCTATATAACTACCAGCCGCACAGGCGTTTAAGTGCCGTTTTACCTACACTTTCACTTAGATTGTTAGGTGCATACTACCTTTTTAAATGCATTACCATTAAAAGTTAAATGTTATTAAGTCAGTGGCTTGCACCTGCCATCAAGTTACACTACCCTCACTGCCATTTCCCTTGATAAGCAGGGAAATCCACTCCTTATAATTTACCTTATCCTATTCTCCTGTCTTTTTGTATATATTTGTGGTGAAGTTTTTTCACTAGGGGATAATTTATTTATTTATTATTTATTTGGTACCTGTTTAACTTTTGTTAGAAGAAAAAAAAAAGTTCTGAAGAGGACTTTAACTCTTATCACTTCAAAGCTTTGCCTATTGGAAAATCATGGGAGTTACATATTGAAGGCAATTATTTATCTGTCACTGCCAAAACAAATTAGCATTTAAACATTGTTCCTGAAGGGATGAAATTCTTACGCATGAGAAATATTTTCAAAACCAGGGCATATAAAATTAAATTACTAAAATAATGCAATGCTTCAGTAGGGTATTTTTCTGGTGCAGAGAATAAACCCAGGACATTGGAAATCGTGACTGCCACACCAAATGTGGGACCTTTGGGAAGTATGCACTTCACGTGCTTTATAGTTATGTACAGTGGCGTACATACTGGGGTCGCGTCTGCGACTGGACCCGGCCGCCTGGTATGTACCCACTGTGGCCAGCCTCTTCTCCTGGGTGGCCCAGGAGCCAGCCACCTCAGGGCCCCCCCGAGGCTGGCCCTGGTGTCACCCGGTGGGCAGGCTGGTGGGTGCGCGAGGGAGCACTCTCCCCTGTGTGCTCCCTCGTGCACCGCACTGAAACCGGAAGATGATGTCATCTTCCGGCTCCGTTATCAGTACGTGGCGCGCGATGGAGCTGAACAGGGATCACGCAGGGGAGAGTGCTCCCTCGCGCGCCCGCCAGCCGGGTGACACCACTGGACCCCAGGGAATCCCCTCAGCACTCCCAAAGGTAGGGAGGCTGGGGGATTACATTTTTTAAAAAACGTGTGTTAGAGTGTGTCTGTTAGTGAGTGTGTGTATGTGTCTGTCTGTGAGTGTGTATGTATGTCTGTCACTGAGGGTGTCTGTTCGTGAGAGTGTGTGTGTGTGTCTTCAGCACTTACCTTTCTCCAGCGCCGGAATCCCTTGGCGCTGGTGATCTCTCCGCCCCGATCCGCCTCTCAGCTCTGAATGCGCATGCGCGGCAAGAGCCACACACGCATTCAAACCGCCCATAGGTAAGCATTACTCAATGCTTTCCTATGGACGTTCAGCGTTTTCTCACTGTGATTTTCACAGTGAGAATCGCGGAAGGTCCTCTTGCGGCTGTCAATGAGACAGCCACTAGAGGCTGGATTAACCCTCAGTTTCTCTGAAACTGCTGTTTTCAGCGGCAGGGTTAAAACTAGAGGGACCTGGCACCCAGACCACTTCATTGAGCTGATGTGATCTGGGTGTCTGTAGTGGTCCTTTAACCCCTTAAGGACCAAACTTCTGGAATAAAAGGGAATCATGACATGTCATGGGTTAAGTATATGTGTATCTGCATGCACTGGCGTACATACCGCGGTCGGAGCCCTGCCGCCATGTGTTGCGGCCCCGGCTCGCGCAGGGGAGGGGGGCCCATGGATCAGTTTTCGCACCGGGGCCCCATGGGTTGTGTGTACTGGTTATGCAGTGTGTGTGAATGCACAAATAACTATTTTTTAATGTTACATGATAAACTTGTATTTCTTGTGCACTCATGAACCTTTAAGTAAGTGTTAAAACTCTCATAATAGCAAGGGCTGTTTGTTACCTGGCCCTGAACAGATTACATAGTTATAACATTAATGACCCTTTCAGCCCTAGGTAGGAAAATATAAATCTCCATGTGTCTTTATTCTGGTAATATGACCCATTTTCTTGCCAACACCTTAATACAAATTAATTAAATGTATATATGTTTGTCTATATAAACGGATGTCATTATGCTTGCACACGACCGCCATATGTTAATCGTGCAGTTTCCCCTCCATTACATTAATATACCGGATAGCACTGCCCTACATGCAGAGACAGCTTTCAGAACGTTTTCTTCCCTCCGCTACAAAGGTTCGGAATCTAACGGACATGACGTCAGGACTGCGAGCCGTCGCTCACTGGTTACTCCGTCACCGGAAGTGCTGCATTGCGCATGCGTGTTGAAATGTGGCGCCGGGCGGAATGGTCCTAGTTGTTTGAGGTGTCTGTGAGTGAGTCCGCGAGTACGGCGTAAGTAGCCGCAGGTAAGAGCGACCCGGCCCGGCTTTATATTGTCCCCGTGTGATCCCCGAGCTGAGTGATTTCCTGTCATGTTGATCGCATGATGTACTAAGCTGGCAGGGCGCGCAGTCGGTGTTTATATCTCGCAGATGGCGGTTTCCTTGAGATTTGTTCTAATCTCTCCTCGTGTTAGTAACTCACAGTCCCGTGCTGTCACTGCTCCCACCGGGAATGCTGTATTACAAAGCTGGAAATACTCAGTCTGCGTAATATTCCTCAGATGAGGATACTCGTCTATTTATAACATTCTGAGCGAGCTCCACATTTTATTTAGTTCGACGGCATAGAATCTCACTATTTAGCTTAGTTTTTCATTATACAGATGTTTCCCTGCCATAGCTTTGAAAATGCTGCAGTTTACACCCCACGAATTGGATACTATAGGTACCATAACTACTTAATGCCGTCATCTAAAAAACCCATAACAGTGGGATGGTAATATGATACTTATTGCATCATAGCAATTCGGGGAAGCAGGTATTGAGCCTTGAGTGCCCCTTTATTACCTGCTAAGAGTTTTGTTTCGTTTCCCGAAGTTCCTATTAACCTATAGGAAGACAAAATTCTTCCACAAGACTTTTTTTTTTTTCTTCCTTCCCACAATGGAAAAAGAAGATACCCAGTTTGCAGGATAAAAAAAAATGTAGGTTCCTACACAAATACGTTTTATTAACCCCTTAAGGAGACTGCTTCAGCAGCTTGTCTTTAACCTTAGGACAAAAGCAATTTTTGCATATTATTTTGTGTTCAACCACAATCTGCATTTTTCTCATTTATTGTACCAACACATATATACCGTTTTTTTTTTTTAAATGAACAGAAAGGGCTTTAATTCGATGTGACACATGTATAAATTCTCGCTTGGCAATAGCGTGTGCGTAGTTAGTGCAGTTTAAGAAAAGTAGTTCAAATGTAATTCATTTAGATGTCTTGATTAACATAGTGTATATACTATCTCTAAGATTTCAGCGTTCTGTAAGTTTGTCTTATAAGCTTAATAGTTGTGACAGAGAAAACAAAATTGCCACACAAAAGTAGACCTTTATATAAAGCAGACATCACAGGCTATTTACGTAAGGCAGCGATTGACAAAACCCAGGTAGCCTTGGCGACTAGGAAGTTTGTCCTGGTGCCTAGTTGTTTATCAGTCCATTGAGTCAAGATGGACAGCTGTGCAGAATGGAGCTGTTATCTTCAAGCTCTTCTTGCTCTGCAGTGATATATATGACATCTCTCAGGCCCTTGCATTACTATACAGTGCACGACTGAGCTGAACAGGAAGAGCTTTACAATTACAGCACAGCCGTACATTGGATCCTATGGAAAGGCAGTCATTCAGAAAGCCCATTACAGGTGCTTCCTAATCCAGTGCTGCACAGTGTTCGGCACCTACATTCAGTGTCTCCACGCTCTGCATGGAGGTGCTGAACGTTCCCCAATGATTCAATTCATCTCTATGTGGAAATGCTGACTGGCGTGACAGTGTTTTGCTGCACATGCGCAATAGCCTCGCAATGCTTTGCTATGGGAAAGCATTGGATTTGCTGAGATCATCATGTTTGCGCTGCATGGGAATATAGATAAGTAATATCTTTCTCGTGCAATTGAAGGGGGGCAGTCATCTAAAAACACACACATTCTCTCACACGCTCAAGTGTACTGGAGCTGGAGTTGACCCTTTATCTTGGGTCTAGTGGGGCTGCTGTCATCTTCCTGCTCTCCTCCCTTGCATGCCTTTTAGTGATGATGGGACCAGAGTGACATCATCCAGAGGCAGGACAAAATTTCTAGTCTCCGTGGCAACCTGTCGCCTGGGATCTGTCGAGCCTCTCATATGGTGTGTATTGTGCCTTAACGTGATTCCATTTTGTTTTCACCAGTTTATGTCAAACTTTGTGGCAACATTTATAGATTACATTTTTGCTGTCCGTTTTTCAAATCTGATATGTGCCAAATTATGTTTGGCAAACTCTCTTCTGAATAAATAATGCCCCAATGTATGTCACTATCCTGCAAAGCTAGAGTCATCCATATAAGAATCATGGTTATTTCACTTTTTTACAATTTGATAGTAGAATGTAATGATTCTATGTCTAATTTTGGGGCATTGTAGAAGCTTGACAGAAAAAATTATTATACAGCGGTTTTAGCACCAATTTCTTTCACCTTTTGTTGTTTTTATTTTTTTACGCACACCTTGCTCTTTAGTGGTTTATTTTGTAAACTTGATATATACTACTGTAATACAAATCAATAGATTATACTCAGCTCTATTTCCAAAGTACAGAATGACCCCAATTTTGTATACCTTTGTCAGTTTTTTTGTGTGAAAATACTGGGCTGAAATTATTATATCCTGCCAAGAGCAGTTTTTCAAGAATGGAAAAAAATAAATACAAATTGAACATGGGTCTTTGGGGCATTGTAGTGATTCACATATTTAAACCAGGGTTTGACAAATCCCAGGCGCCATGGCGACTAAGAATTTTAGGTATTTGTGCACCTTGGCCGATCTGAGACGTTGGTAGCAATATAGATCAGGGTGATCTAGTACAGGGCTTGACAAATTTGTTTGGAATCTAGGAGCCAGCTACACAAGTTAGAAGCCAGTCATTTTCAACGAGAAAATGCAATTCTTAAAGGGACACTAAAGTCACCAGAACCACTACAGCTTGATGTAGTTGTTCTGGTGTCTATAGCCTGTCCCTGCAGGCGTTTTAGTGTAAACACTGACTCTAATGCGAAAAGGCAGAATTTACATTGCTGCTTAGTAACACCTATAGTGACCTTCACTCAGACGGTCACTAGAGTCCTGGGTCACTGCTGCACCACGTGCAGCACCCAGGTTCAGTATCTCCAAGCTCTGCATGGAGGTGCTGAATGTTCCTCGTAGAGATTCATTCATTTAATGCATCTCGATGAGGAGGTGCGGATTGGTACATTTGCTGCGCATGCACAAAATCCTCCCAATGCTTTCCTAAGGGAAAGCATTGGCTTAGCTGAGATCATAAAGATTGATAATCTCAGCCATGGGGAAACTGGGGGGAAGTGAGTAAAAAAAAAAATGATCGGAGGGAGCAGGTACCTAAATGCGCATACACGCTCACGCTGACAACAGGCTTGCACACACTCTTGAGAGGCGCGCGCACACAGTCTCTTGACAGGCTCACACACTCTTATGCTGACAACAGGCTGACAGAGTTGCGTGCGCACACATACAGGCGCTCGCACACAGACACTCTGACAGGCGCTCACACTGACTCTGATCATTAGGGATTTTTTGTATACTGAGGAACGTAATTTTGTGTGGTGCAAGAGGAGAGGTGCTGGTTACAGTGATGGCGGGTTATCTCAGAATTGTTGCATTGTTTTGTGGATGGTTGCCCAATATGGTTGGCTCAGGGGGCATTCCCACCATAAATGTCTAAGAGTGTCGGTGGCCAGGCCACATCTCCAGCATGCATCGTCGGTGGCAGAGTTGGATGAATGTATGGATTGTGGGGTACGGTACAACCGTGCAGGTAGTTTGTACGCGGTTTTTCTGTACTCCACTGGAGGGGGCGCAGTGTTGCGTGAGGTCACATATTTTGGACCACTGTTTCGGTGTGAACATGGTGTTTAGTGCTTTCTCCTATTTCCCCAATGAACCTTGGGGTCGTTTTTTCGGAGTCTTCTAATCATGCTGTAGAGGACGGCATAATTCCGTGAGGTCTCTCGATGCATGGTGCCCTATAATGGTTGAGGATAAAAAGTCCGTCAATTGTCTATATCTGAAGCAGAGCATGAAATGTCGTGTCCTTGTTGTCGGCGATTCGTTAGGACTTTCGAGCCGATCACGGCACGGCGGATGTGGGGGAGCCTTTGTCCTAGTAGCCGTTGGAAGGTCATGTTGTGAACAATGGGTAGCAGAGGGGATGACAAGGTGGTAAGTGTGAGCACGAACGTTTGTGTGCGCCACACTTGCAAGATAGCTCTTATGAAGGGATGGGGTGCCGCCAGTTGTGAACTTTGATTTTGGTCTAGCCATGGTAGGACCGCTATTGGGCTACCGATCATGTCTGGTTCTATGTCTTTCCATACACTCCGTGTTTGGTCCACTCAGTTATCTGCAAGAGGTGAGTCGCCTGGTAATATTCTCTGAAGTCTGGTAGGGCCAAGCATTCATAGTCTTTTTGGCAGAGTGAGGGTATCGTGTTTAATCTTAGCTTTGAGTTTGTGCCAGGCGTGTTAGAACACTAAAACGTAAATCGTCGTTGGAGGGCCTGCACCCAGTTCTGTCTCTTCTGGGTGGAGACATTCGGGACTGATTTTGTATAGTTTTAAAGTTCGAGAGTGCTCCGTATTGTGCAAATTCCAACATGATAGCTGGTAGGGTTATTTCGGGCTTGGTAATAAAGAGTTTCTTGGCGTAGGCCGCGATCAAATGTCTCGCTGTGCCCACCTTGATCCCCTATATATCGGGATTGCTCCGTATGGCATTTAGGAAGGGTTCTAGGGCTAGGACGAAGAGTAGGGGTAACAGCAGGCACCCCTGTTGCGTGCCCTTGTGGATCGGGAAGGCACGTTGACACAAACTCATGCTGTGGGTGTTGTGTATAAGGCCTTGATCCAGCCCATCATGTGGAAGCCCACATGAACCTTCACTCCACTCTGTCAAGCCTTCTTCGCTTCCGTAGACAGCAGGAGAAAGCCCTCAGAGAAATTGGGAAGTAATTCGCGCACTGCTCCACGTCCTTACCTTCTTTGGGTATCGGGAGATGTTCGCCTCCAGGGCTTGCAAGGGGACCCGATGACCTTCTCTTATGGAGTTGAG